GTGCACCCCTGGACCTCAACCGCAAGGATCCGATCGCAGTGTGCACCGCTGGACCTCAACCAGATAGTTTGCCAGATAAAATCCACAAACACACAATCACAAACACACGACCACAAACGCGCAACCACAAACACACAACCACAAACACAATCACAAACCCACAATCACAAACACAATCACAAACACACAACTACAAAGACACAATCACAAACACATAACCACAAACACAAAACCACAAGCACACAACCACAAACACACAGACAAACACACAATCCCAAACACAATCACAAACACAATCACAAATACAATCACAAACACGCAACTACAAACACAATCACAAACACACAACTACAAACACAGCTACAAAGACACCATCACAAACACACAACCACAAACATACACAACACACAACCACAGACACACACACAAACACACAACCACAAACACACAACCACAAACACACAACCACAAACACACAACCACAAACCCACAACCACAAACCCACAACCACAAACACAACCACAAACACAACCACAAACACAACCACAAACACAACCACAAACACACAACCACAACCACAAGTACAAACACACAATCACAAAGACACAACCACAACCACAACCACAACTACAAACACATAATCACAAAGACCACAACTACAAACACATAATCACAACCACTACCACTACCACAAACACAACCACAAACACATCCACAAACACACAACCACAAAAACAACTACAAACACACAATCACAAAGACACAACCACAACCACAACTACAAACACACAATCACAAAGACACAACCGCAACCACAACCACAACTACAAACACACAATCACAACCACAACCAGAACCACAAACACAACCACAAACACACAACCACAAACACACAACCACAAACACACAACCACAACCACAACCACAACACAGCACACAACCACAGCACACAACCCGAGGACCCACAAGCAACATCGAGAACTACAATACTAACGACTATGGCAACATGCTCCTCACTATGGCATCAAGACAAATGATTGAAATGTCATGGTGGGGATCACTCGAAGTAAAGTATTTTTTTCGACTATAGATCAGTTATAGCCCAGACACGACTAATGGGGACTGCAATAGGACTGCCGATCAGTTGGGGTGGTTTTGGGGGGTCAATGTAGGCATTAGGCATATATTATGGCATACGTGGAGTGTCTGGGTAGATGTGAAAGCTACCGTCATTCTCCATCATTTATGGTTTCAGAACCGCAAGTTGGCTTGAGATATAAGGACTCTGCAGAACAAATAAACTCATGTTCAGTGATGTTCAGTCAAAGGCTGTACTGTTGTACCACCGTTGCACCACAGGGTCGGGCTTTTCGATGGCGGACTTTTGGGATGGTTTGGATGGTTTGCAGCGTTTCAAGATGTGGCAGATGTTTATCGTCACCGTTTCATTCAGAGAACTGCCAACCGCCACACATCCTCTCGAAATTCACGGAGAAACTTGCAGACCATCCTGGCTTTCTCAATAATAACTGAACTCGGCCATGCATGCTGTCAGGTTGAACTTCTTTCTCGTTACCATCACCAAGCCATGACAATGCCAAAAAAGAACACAAAAACTTCCTCTGACTATGTGGAATGACGCCGACTACCACCACGTTCAAAAACACATACTGTCACATACTCATTCTTTCGGGTGCCTCTATATTCTCTATATAGGGGGTTGATCTAGAACCCATGTAAGGAGTTTTATATAAAACAGCCTTTCAGATGTTGTTAAAACCATCCGCGAAAGATTCGCGATGGGGTTCGTGAAAGTATCTGTTTTTCCGCAAAAGATCCATCGAAGATCATCGCTTTCACATGGTTTCCTTTCTACCGACTGACAAAGAATGGAAATACAAGGCAATCCTCTGGCAGAGCCGGTGGGCGGAAGTGTCCCCGCATGTCCCCATTGTCACAGACTAACGATCTGAAGCCTCAACATTTCCGTGCCCAGGCCTGGCAGTGCGTAAAGGATTCTCCGATTCCTGTCGCCGCTGTCACAGACTAGCAACCTGAGTAGGCACAGCCCTGACCGTGAGGCAACAACGACCTGCAGCTGCTCTGACGGGCTGTGCAGATGTTTGCAAATGTTACGGCTTCCTGGGGAAATCACCAGTGAAATTTCACGAAAGATCCGCGAAAGCTTCACGAATGTGCCGCTAAAGTCCAGGTTCCCAGCTTGAGGCCCCTCACCCTCCCTAAGCTGCATCACCCTGTGTTGTTAGCTGGCACGAGGATTGGGATACTCATACTATGAATAGTTCCGGCCCCAGGACCATGCTTCGCGATGAGGCCGCGAAAGATCCGCGAAAGATATCGTTTTTCCGCGAACACTCCAGGATGAAAGAATATTGATCAACCACCATATAATATATACCTTGGCAGTCCAAGAGTGTGTTCAAAAGGGTTTGATCCAAGTCTAGCTAGGAACTGTCCTTTACTTCGGTGGTCCCCAACTTGTCGAATTGGACAGCTAGGACTGGTGCTCGTGCTCACGAACAGAACGCGCGAAGCGCCATGGTGTCCATGGAGCGATTCGCCTTGTCTTCTGAATGTCCAGTCACTCAACCAGGTGGATGACCGGATGACCTGGGGGGACACCCCACTCAACCAGAACAGATGGAGTTTGCTTGGTCCACCAAACTCAGTTTTCCTAAGGAATCAATGGTCGGTCGCTGTCAGGTGGATGCCAATTATCCGAAGTCCAACGAGACCTTCGGCTTCCTGCTCCGCCGACTGGAAGCGGACACGCGATCCGCTCCGATCAGCTCAGCGTCAGAGTCCAGTGCCGTGCCGAGGCAGCTGGCGGGTGCATGTGGAAAACCAGGGGATCCCAGGGGAAAGGGTGGGGAAAAAAACAGTAAACGTTCATTTTTGCCTGTCCAAGTACAATCTTTGCCCATAACAACCCAAAAATCATGGTCAAATCAAAAGAGTATGGCAGGCCGCAGGCCATAGCAAAACCCTGTATTGCTTGTGGTCAAGGTTGTTTGGTCCTCAAAAATATATTATGGCTTTCCAGGCACTGTATGGGTTCAAGTTCAGGTCTCTCAACCACTGTTGGAAATTATTGGCACTTGATGTAGCTCAAAGGTGGGGGGCATGTCATAGCATTGTCCTGACATCTAGATCTGGCCACGGCGGCGTGTCGACGGAAAACAGCAAGCTGAGGTGAGAAAATGTTGAGACAAGCTGAGCGATAGGCGATAGCAGAGCAGAGTTTTGCAGCGACCCTGAGCTGAGCTTGATGCTGTTTGGACAGCCCGTTGGACAGCATCAAACAATGTGGTACACCAAAGGTCCAATCAGTGTTGATGAGAAGCAGGTCAAAGCACTGCGCGTGCTTTCTTGCGCTTGAGACGAGCTGCCAGCCAACGCAAAATCCCTTAAAGAGCTAATTCAGGACCTAAGGCGTGCCACCTGCAACCATGAGTCCCCTGCTTCAGGATGTGGTGGCTCCCGCGTTCGTGGCACAGCTGTGAGCTGGGGCCAAAGAGAAAAGTGGGCCGCTGGCATGCGCTGGCGATTCGTGGACCAAGCCATGTAGAGGTGAACCCAAACCAGTGGACATCAGGAGTAGTGGCTAAGAACCCCCCCAATACCTGAACCTGTAGTTGCAAAATCAGACGTGATCCATGGCGCTGCAAGTGGCACTGGAATATATGCCGCCGTATTGACTCCTTTTCAACCACTCCAATCTAGGTCAATATGCCGTAATATCATAATCCCTAGGGCTCCAACCACCTCCTGAGAAGATGGTTGGGGTGGGTTTCGGGGGTCTAACCACCTTCTGAGGAGATGGTTGGAGCCCTAGGGAATGTACATGTAGAGTGGTTTGGGTTCGTTGGGGCGGTCCTCATCGGCATAAGACCTGCATGGAGTTACATAAGACCTGCTGTTGTTGAGTCCCATCGCAGTGATTTCGTTGTAACAGGGGCACCCCGTAGACCACCAATAGCCAACCTGACGCGGAACTTCTGGAAGGTCATGGTTTTTCGCCTAAATGAGGGGATGTTCTGGTCATTTTGGAGTCCCTCCTTCGGCCATCCCCCTGTAACTTGTGCCAAAAGGACATTCCTTCACAGCTTCCGGCTTGCCCTGTGCCGTGCTGGCGGGCAGGCCACGTCTGCCTTGGATGCGGAGTCTGAAGGGATGGTTCAAGAGGCGTGGAAGTTCATTTGCTGCAAGCTCAGCTCCTAGTAATGCCCTTGTTACTGTAGCGATGCACCTTGTTACTAGTAGCTTCTTGTTATAACTAGCTCGGTTCCTTGGCCTACCTCACTTTCCAGCTCTGAACAGCGTGCTTTGAACAGCGTGCTCTTGGCACGCTTGGCGTCTTCTCTTCTCCTCCCGCCGGACCGCGGCCTCCGGACGACCCATAGGACCGCCCTTTCCGTGGTCGAAGTGTTCAGGTACCAAGGGGCTGAAGTAATTTCCCATGAAAAACAAACCAGCACCTTCATGTCGGGGTCACCTGGCTGGTTTCGCCCCAGCCCACCACTAAGGGGCCTCCAGCCAGGACACCCCGAAAGAAGGTCCAGGAAGGTTTTCACATACCAAAACCATGTGTGTTGCTAGGGAAAACGAGGTGTTTGATGGGCCATGTGGGGCCCCTGGTGTACAGTCCCATGGAGTGTCACATTGAAATACATTGGGGGTGGTGTCAGAGCTTCCCACTTCTAGTATCTGGGCTAGGCCTTGGAGCAGCTCATGAAGCAGCGTGAGGGGCGCACCTTCCTCGCCGCTCGGTTGCGGGACTCGATGCGGGAGGCTGTTGCGTCCTCAACAGTGTTTCTTTTTGACGAAAACAGGGAACGGACTCAAGGCTGGTGGTGAATGTTTGTGTGAAAGATTTGTGGACAAAACAAATCCAAGTGTGGACATGTGACAAGTCCACGAACCTTCACAAGTCCATGTGACAAGTGTTGGAATGGATGGAGCTTTTTGATTCTAAGCTCCTCATCGATGTGTTGAATGGATGGCGTTTGACGGTCCCAACGAGTCACTGGCGCTTTTCGTCACGTGGGCGCTTGGTCACGTTTCGGTGGTTTTGCTGAAAAAGATAGCGAACTGAGGGTCCAATGAGGTGACGTGGGTGATCTGATATTGTTTGTTCTGTTCTGACTCTTCTGACTGGGTCTTAAGGATTCCCCGGATGCCTGCCTTCAAGCATGTTCACAGGTTTTTGTTTGACTGACCTGGTTCTGATTGGTGATGAATTTGAATCTCAGTCAACAATGCTTGTTTGGTGACCATGAAATCGGCCGTTGGACTCCTGGAAGATGAGTCGCATTATCACGATTCGCCAGGGATTCGCACGGATCAGGAGCGAACTCATGTCGCGTCGCGTCGGAGGTCCATGTACCTGAAGTCGACCCGGTAAAGGTGCCTTAGTAAATGGGGTCGTCTTTGACCTGTTTTCCTTTTTGTTCAAGTCTGTCCTATTTTCGGCACGAACGAAGTCGGGCCCAGGTATACTCCCTGGGAGTTCAAGACTCTTTTTGGGCGGTGACCCGAGACATCCCGAGACTAAGAATGTCCTGAACTCTTCGAATGTCCCAAGAATAGTCCAACCCAGACGCTCATTGACCTGAACCAACTGCTATATGTTTGAGGTCCGAAACCCTAGTTGTGAGGGTCAAAACCCTAGCGAACTGAGGGTCCAATGAGCGTTTGGGTTTTGGACTTCTAGGATAGATCCAACTCGCCACGCGAGTTGAGAGCTGCCAGGTTAAGAAGAACAACATTAAACTACAGCACAAATACCAAACAGGGACCCGTATTCATATCGCTTCCTAGACCATCCATGGGATTGGAATAGTCTAATTTGTATGCATTTACCCCATGAACATGGCCTAATGCAGTTATATGCCCTGTGAAAGGATCCTTCCCTGGGGCGACCTATAGTCTTTGGACTTCTACAGGGTATAACTATTCCACTCTTATGCATCTTATGCAGTATGCTTTGGGCTTCAAACGCTCCAACGCTCGTCCACGGCTGCTGCTTCAGGTGATCGCGCACCGCCTGTCCACGGTGAAGGACGCCGACGTGATCGCCGCTCTGATCGATAATTGCAACTCCGCGATCGGAGTTCTACGAGGATCCGAGCCGAGTCATTCCCTGCCCGGGAACATGGGCGGGTTGAAGGTGCAGGTGTTCTTGTTCCCGCATGGGCTGCCTAGGCCCCGCCTCCCCCTTCGACATTGGCGTGGTTGAAGGTCGGGGTCGGCGGCGATTCCAGTCCCATGGATGGTCTGGCCTTTAGAACCATTTGGAACCCTCGAGGGATCTTGAAATCAATATAAATTATAGACGATTCACCCCTAAGGGTCCAGGACCATCCTGAGGTCCTGAGGATGTCCTTTGGCCCCAAAGACCATTCTCAGGAAGTACGAACTCACCTCCAAGACCATCCGATTCGGATGATCCTGGACCCTTAGGGCACATCGATTCACTCGAAATCAGGTGAATCACCGCGAGATGCACCGCTTGCTTGGTGTGTTTGAAACGCCGGACATGGGGAGTGGTGGGGAGGAACTTCAAATCATCACCCAGCGACCTGGACTGGCCGCGATCAAAATCGCAGGGTCCCTTCCGATCGCGCCACGTTCCTCAAAGGCCTCCGCAAGCTCGAACGCCCACACGCGACCCTGTATGGAGGGGTCAGACCCGAATCCTCTGGAGGGGTCTGGGGTCTTATGGGGTCGAACCAATCCCTATAGCCTATAGGTATTGAAGGACCGGTCGGGCTGTTTGGAGCGTCTGGGTGGAGAAACATTTGGGACCCCTCACCCTGTGGTCAGCCTGTCGGTGGCGTATGGGTCCAGAAGTGACTGACACCTCAAACTGAAGTTGTGCAATTGTGGTGAAATGGTGGCAATTGCTGTATATCCAACCACTGGTGCACTTGTGTGGATGACTCCTGCAAGCACTGCATGAGCGGTCATCGGTCTCTCCGGACGTGGCCCGTCACGTCGCCCCGTTTGGCCCGTCACGTCCGGTGCCCGTAGCGGTCACCGGAGACGAGCCCGTCTGAGGTGGTGTTGAGCAGCGGTGAGTGCGTGGAAACCGGCACGCACGAGGAGTTGTTGGCGAAGGGGAGTGCCAGAGACTCAGCGTTTGAGGCGAAGCGAAGCGATGCGAAGCGAGGCTTTTGTGGCGGAGGGCGCACAGCCACCGGTTTGAGGTGTGGGAAGGATGGCCTCAAGAAACTAGATGAGGGTTGATGGGGGAACCGCACAGCTATCTTTATGAAGGGATTTCGCGAACTCTGAGCCATCGAACGCCTCTGGAGCAGCCGCGTGGTGGGCGGTGCAGAAGTTGCTGGTGGAGAAGACCTATAGCTATCTTCCAGGAGTTCCAAAGTGCTTTGGTTCGTCCCATCCAGGGCTCGTGGATGTGACAGGGGCACCCCGGCGTACTCCTTCCGTTCGTTCAGCACCCACCTCTATGGAACTGCTAGCGTCAAATGTGCACAGCCCCAAGGAACCTCGGACCCGACCTCTTCGCAGGGGTTTGGGGCCCCTCAGAACTCTTGCTTTTGAGGGTCCGGATTCTAAGAGGGTATACACACTAGCATGCACAGCAGGACCTCGTCAGCTACACTGATCATGTACCCGCCGTAGAATCCCGTATATACTGGACCTGTCCTGTACCGATGCCCGTTTTGATGCCATTTATACACTTTGAGTCAGTGAAACAGTCTGTCTGAGGTGTACAAAGGTTTGGTACAGAGGCAGCTTGATCTTCGACGCTGAGCGTTTTCGACTCCAAAGCCAGGGCGTCATACCGGGTGCCAGATGAGCCGCCCAACACCTCAAAAACAGGTGACCACAAGGCAACAAGGTTTGTCAAGCCTTTGGATTCCTGCCAGCAATCCCAAAGGGGTGCGATCCATGGAAGTCGGGGTGCCCGTCTTGTGACTCCTCAAGCCTTTGGATTCCTGGACAACCATTGTATCCCTACAAGTCAAAGACTTCATTTTACTGGTGATGGTCATACAAAATCCATCAACATCCAATTCTTAAGGAGATCAAAGACCAGGTTTTATTGGGTCAGACTGGACTTGTAGGGTATGGTGTTTCCCAGCTGTTTCGATCGACCTGGATCTTCCGGACTTGTGACCTGCCTGGTCAGTGCGGTCGGTGAGGCTGGAGTGGTCGGTTCTCCTCTAGTCACATGCGGTCACGGTCTGGTCCGGCGATCATGAAAACCCCGGCCCAACCAGAAACAGTTCCGGTTGGAGCACAACACGGCATGGCTTGCGAACGAGATCCCTCAATCATTGGGCAAGTGGCTTGGACTGGGGACGCATCCGTTTGTTCACTGGCAGAATATCACCATCCGAACTGGCTGACGCTGCTGACAGATTCGGACGTTCGACTCTTCGAGTGACGAAGGGTCGATGGGAGGTGTCTCATCTGGCGCCATTTTCCGGACGCTTGACTGGCTGGATCCCGCGCTTGGGGCGGTCTCCGGTCTCACGGGTTCTCGGAAAGCCGAGTCTCGGGCCTGAGGCCCAAGCCTCGGGTAGCACCAGAGATGGCCTTTTGATCGTTTTGAGGCTGGGTTTCTCCAATTGCCATTTAGTTGGACCATTTCCGGTCGTCTAAACTCCTAAAGAAAGCAAGGTCGGTGGTTTGGGATTCAGACCAGGTTCTTGGAATCACTGATCGCTTTCAAACACATAGGGTTTGGTTCGGGCCCTTTTTCCCCTGCGTGAAACGGTGTCGGGTCCGAGCCTTGCCAACAGGTCGGCTCGAAGGATTGTTGGGGCCTTGGTAGGTGGAAAATTCTTAGGACCGGACTTTCCCAACGACAGGGTTTCTGGCACGTGTCATCGACCTCTCTAGATCTCCTCTCCCCCTGGGCCTGGGGAGTGCTGAACTGCTCTCCGCCTGCCACCCTCCAACTGCCAGGGCCTTAAGAGCCATAACAGCGAATCCAGACCCAAAGGTCTCAAGGGTGACCTGGCAGTGAGGCTGGTGGTTTTGGAGTGTCAAATCCTTAGTATGAAACATGATAAAACCATGTCAAACTGATAAAGCTCATGATGCTTGGGGGATAAAGACCTAGAGGCTTACTGTACATAGAATTACAAAGACCATGAAGAACAAAAAAAAGGACATCATTGGGTAGCACGGAAGGGCCGGGCCGCGCGTGGAGCGATGCTGAACAGTCCGCGTGGTGACCTCGCTCCGAGAACCGTGACGAACGTCCGACGAACGTCCGGACGGACGGCGAGACGCGACGGGTCCCAAGCATGAAACCGATGTGGCTGTGGGTCATGGGCACCAAATCGACCTGGAGGTTGCTAAGCCGGTTCTGATCAGACTGGAGTACAATAGCGGAGATACACTGAGTACCAGCGGGAGTGGACCGCATTGGACCCACAGCCATGTGACCAAACAGAATCTCTTCCAACATCACCCTAAGCCTTCCTGGCCCACCAGTGATTTAAAAGGTCTTTGCCGAACCACCATGATGATTGTTTTGTTTGAATGACATGCTAGGGTTACGGTCTGAAGGTCTTCAGCCTGGAGGCTGAACAGTCCAACCAGGAAACTCAGTCCCAACCAGAAACAGTTCTGGATGGAATTCCCCACTGCTGGCACCACTTGCCCATGTCAAGGATCTCAAGCTGGGCTCTACTAGGAGCAAAGGACGCTACGAACGGGGCTCCTGGCATCGCTACGAACGGAGCATTCTTAATAGGAGCAAGAAGCTACTCTCCAGGTCGTCTCTGTCTTCAGTGTCTAACCCGCTGCACTGGCTCTGAACAGCGCTCCGCCACCCGACGAACGGATCGGCCGTAGCAGTGCCGGTTTTTACGTGACCGTCGAAGGCTGGGGTGGGAAGGACAGGCTTTAAGCACCCCAGGTGCGAGGTAAAGCACATGCAGCATTTGGGTACCAGCAAGATTGGAAGGTGTTTCCCATGCAAGAACCGTTCCGAACTGTACATATAATAACTCTTAAGATTAATTCGTGCGTGAAATGATTCCTCCTGCCTCCCTGGGAGACTTCTGCTCCTTGCCAGGAGTCGCTGATTTGGGGCGAAGCACCAAGAGGCCCACCTGCTGCCATGGAGCGAGGTCGGCTGTGCTTTTGGAGTCAACGGGTCAACGGGCGTCGGGGTCGGCGGCGGTGGCAGAGATTCTGAGATGTTCTTGGCACACCGACTACCTCCATGGATAGCACATGATAGCACTGATAGCACCTATGATAGTGGAGCTGCTGGCAGAAATGCCACCAGAATTGCCGCAAGAGTTATGAATCCAGATGGACCTCGGACCGTTCGCGAGCCATGAAACCATGCAAGCACGCTGGGCCGTTCGCCAGGACCTCGGCGGCGACAAGAGCAACAACGTCCTCCCTCGCGTGGGCGGCGCAACAACCAAGAGCAGGACCGCCGGACGTCGTGAAGGGAACCCGAGACCGACTGGAAGTTTAGGGAAGCCGTGCCCGAAAGGAATCTGGACGGGCCGCAAAAACCATAGGGGCAGGACCCGACATCTTTGCAGGGGTGTGGACTGGAAGCAAACCCACTGTGAGTGAGTAAGTGAGTAAGTGTGTATTGAACTAGGGAGAGCTCCCAGTGCACCCTCTGGAAGAAAGGAAATAGACCATCGCACTGTTTTTGCAGTGTGTCCCAGTTCATGTGTTGCTTCGGGATTCAGACAGGTGTGGGGCTGTCCAAGTGCCCAAGTGCAGTGCCTCCTCAGGTTCGGTATGAAGTCATACCCTCGAAACGACTCTAAACCCATCCCCAGCCCCACCTTCTTAGAAGGTATACCTGTGGAGCCGTAAGGCCACCTGGCACGTCGCGGCCGTCGTGCCACCGCGCGACGCCACGACGGGGCGATCGATGCTAGGCGGGTCCTGCGGTGCGGCGGAGCTCCTCTGCACCGGGGCGCGGCCGTGAGCCCATTCAGGCAGGGCAGGAGCGTGATTTTATGTGATTTTTTTTCGTGTGTAGTGGTAGATATATTAGTGTTTTGTTCCTCACCTGCCAGGTGATGGGTCTTTAGATTTGAAATGATTTGAAACAAAGGTGCCACTCCTTCCTTCCTCCTCCTTTACTCCGCACTTATCATTCCTTTGCATCGTCACCTTGGGGCGAGCGCCAGCTCAGTCTGGGCACTCATGGGCCTGAGGACATGCCATTCCAGAATCCCCCACGCTTGTACCACTATAAAATGTAGATGCCTTGGCCCTATAAAATGATGAAACCGACCCTCATTTTATAAAGATCATGGGGGCAGACAAGAAGGAACAAAAAAAAGGAGGTTGGTTCCAGGAAACGGGGTCATTTTATAAACACGGTATGGTCCCAAGCAAACGGAAAACGGACATCGATATCATAAACATAAGTGAGTGATGGGAAGGGTTGGAATTTCATTTTATAAGTATGAAGTGGTGGAAAGTGAGACGAGAGATATTGAGTTGAAAGTATTCAATGGAGTCAACATGAGTCAATAGCAGAAACTTGGAAAGGGCCGCAAAGAAAAAGAAGAGAACTGCAGGAGTGATTTTGTTTTTGCATGTGCACGCACGCTGGAATTTGTCGGAATGTGTACGCTCGTTTTTGAGATTCTTTGATCATCAGCCATGCAGAGGGTGATTTTTCATTTTTGAAATCTCATCATGTTAAATCTTGAGACATCATCTGGGAGTAGGTGTTCATTCTGTATATATATATAATTTTCTTCAATTCATTTTATAAGGAATTCATATCTCTTGGCAATCTGGCCGATTCACAATTTTGCTGACAAATGCTACATTTGATAAACAGGTCGGTTTTGTAATTTTATAGTAATTTTGGTTGTGTGTTTTCATTTAATAAAGGAAATTTACTATATAATGCAAAACGGCAGGCCATTGGGAGTAGTAAGGGGGATATTCCAGATAGAATGTCATCAGAGTACATGCCAGAAGATTTGCCGGATAGAATGCCAGGAAAGATGTCAGAAGGTATGCCAGCCGGCAGCTGGAATGCCACAAGGTATGTCAGATAGAACGCCAGAAACAGAAAGGATGTGTGCCAGAAGGTATAGTATGCCAGAAAGGATGCCAGAAGATATGCCAGCTCAAGTGCCAAAAGCTGTGCCAGGTAGAATACCAGCTTATTTGCCAGATAGGACGCTGGAAAGGATGTTGATACCAGGTAAACTATGCCAGAGACTTGATGCCAGAAAGGATGGAAGATGTGCCATACCAGACTTGATGCCAGAACAAGTGTCAGGACATTGAATCCATATGAGCCAATGCATATGTCGGGCAGCATTTGTCAGGATAGTCTGTCAATACATGTGCCGGTGCCTTCTTTCTAAATCGCCTCTCAAGGCCGGGATCGCTCGGAGCAAAGTAACTTCTCTGAGAGTAATTAAGAGGACATTGGAAGGTATAGTTGAATGACCGTAGATTTTAGGGGTTGGGTGGAGTTTTAGGAAATTGCCTGGAACTGGGCGGAGTCTGACAGGGAATCTTCCCAAATGCTTTGAAGACTCCAAGGATCTTTCTTGAGTGCTCGATTGTGGAGCCATGATCTGCAAGTGTTAACAGGGAAAACTCCAAGGAGATGAATTAGCACAACTGCAAGTGTTGGACAGCTGTGCCGTTACCATGTCGAGTTTGCACCTGGAACCCAGAAGCTTCCAGACCTTCAGGAGGTGTCTAACTGTGCATGTTGCAGCCTGAAGTCTCCACTCAGCCATTCAGGGTGTAGGTCATGTCCACCACCCCACCACGGCTCACCCTCCACCCACCCAGGCGGCTCCTGAGCCGCGGCGCCGCCGGGCGGCGTCCACAGGGCGGCCGCCGGTGAGGCAGTGGGGAGCCCCAGCGACCCCCCGCAGAGGTCGGAGGGTGGTGTGTAGTGCGCCAGTGGCACTTGATGTGGTGAATGTGGTTAGTGAGAGCAGTGGTCAGAACGGTTTTCAGATTGGGGGAGAGTTAGAACAGGCTCAGCAGCTGTTAGAACAGGCCATTCTGAATTGTTTGAAGTTCGTTCGTTTACGTCTCGGACGGGATGGCAAGGTACTGTAGGACTTTCCTGCCACATGGTTCCAAACTCAAGCATCAATGCATGCGGAAAACCCATTGGTTCAGAAGGGAAAGTGACCAAGATGACCAGCTACTGGTACTGTTTAGCACTTTTTCCAGACAGAGTAGGTAGTACCCTATATATGTCAGCTTCTTCCTCACCCTGGTCGGAGTACCAGTGGGTCAGCTACTGCAACCAACACCTTCAACCGCTGTGCCTCACCTCCACGCGAGCTGTCCCGTCTTCACCTGACCGTCCGACGGACCGACTGGCGGGGTGGTACCGTCCGACGAGCCAGGGCAAATCCTCCCAGAAAGAAGGATTGGTCCCACCCTCAAGGCGCGGGTCGTGGAAGAAAGGGTCGTGGAAGTCAAAACGGTGATGTGGTGGATGTGACCAGATGGTGTCCGAGGATTTTGATGTTCAAGCTTTACTTGAGATGGTTCACCATCTTTGGAGTTGAAGCCGAAGCCACGAATTCTTTTGTCCTCTATGGTTGCAACCCTTGAATGTTGCACCAGACCGGAAGGGGGTGCCTCTAGGGGCACCGATGTGCAAGGGAACGATGGGACCAGGGCTGAGACTACTTCCCTACAGCTCCGAACGCCCCACATCCCCAGGTTCGGTGGTTGGGGTGGGTGCTGGTTGGGGGTCGAATACCACCGAACCAGGAGATGGGGCGTTCGGAGCCCTAGGCTTGTAGGCATTTCCAAGGCAAGTCCCATCATCTTCTCACGATGACGGGGGCAAACGACAGATCACCAGCGACCGGTCCCGACTTGAGATCGGTGGTGGATGGGGAGGTGGGGACGGGGATGCACAATTTGTAGGGATCCAGTCGTACCGAACCTCAGGTACGGTACGACTGGACCCTCCAAACATAACAGTGTCTCCAATCACCTGCTGAGAAGGTACTTGGATCCCTAGGGAATGAGGACTGGAAGATTGAGGTCTTTGGAAGATTTAGAACCCTAAGGATCCGAGTTCGGACCTTCTCCCTCCCTCTTCGCAGGTGTTGACTGGGGTGTTGGATCCGACCTCGAACAGAGGTACCCGAACCAAACCCGTGCAGGATCCAGATCCAAACAGGCTCAGGCTGGCTCAAACTTGGGGCCCCAAACATGGCCTGTCTTCTTTGATGTCCGGCACGCCGGAGACGTTTTTACCCCGAGCCCTGAGCCCCTGCGCCCACCTGCGCGAGCGGCGGAACGGTCGAAGGGAAGAAGTTTGACGAGCTGGAAGAGGAAAGCATGATTGATGGCTGCTCGTCCGAGGTTTCAGGGGGAAGAAGGTTTGGTGGGTCTGCACCGCCCTCCAGCAAGACCAGGTGTCTTTGAGGGTCGCTTTCCAAGCAATGTGACGAGCCCTCCATGGCGTTGGGCCCTCCATAGCAGGGCTCTGAACCCTCAAAACCCTATGTGTTTGAGGCTCCAAGAAGGATCTCCATTTTCTCATCCTGGCCCATGAAGAGGCCATCAGGAAATTGCACCTGCTGCCCGAGTCCCTCCTCTTGTTGATAGAGGGGGGACATGGGGCGACGATCTACCCTCGAAGCCCAAAGGCTCAGAAAGGACCCTCATTTCGCTAGGGTTTTGACCCTCACAACTACCTGGACCCTCCAAAGTGCCTTTGAAAATGGGACATGACTCGACCCCATAAAACCAGGTACTTGTACCATCTTGTACCCATTTTCGGAGGTACTTTGAGCCTCACAACTAGGGTTTTGGACCTCAAACATGTAGCAGTTGGTTCGGGTCCAGGGTCGCGTTTGGGAGACCATCTGTTTGCAGGGCCCCAGTTACCCCTGTGAAGTACTGAGGCTTCGACCGAGGTCGGGTCCGAAGTCGGATGCTTCGGTGATGGTCACCGCCTCGCTTGAAGTACGGATATGGCCCGAACCATTTTCGCAGGAAATACCAACCAGCACCTTCATGTCGGGGTCACCTGGCTGGAAGCCCCAGCCCACCACTAAGGGGCCTCCAGCCAGGACACCCCTTGAAGGTCCAGGAAGGTTTTTTGATGGTGAACACCCAGGTTCTTGATATGTTTTGCTGGGCCATGTGGCGCCGGTTCGGATAGGATCCAGTGCTCGAGTGCTCGCCGCCCTCCCGCTGCCCAGCGCATCCCCACCCAGACCGCGCGGCGAGTGGGTCGTGAAGGTGATGGTCCCTTGCAGTGCTCGCGTTTGGGGGGAGGCCCCACCGACATAGATGGTGACCAGACTGCGCAGAGGCGAATGGGCGTGCCTTACATGGCCCATGAGATGGAGAACTCAAGCGCTGGTAGATGAGTTGGATCGTGACATCACGCTAGCAATGCTGGCCGATTTGAAGACCACGGAGTGCTCATGAGCACTACTACAGCTGGAGAATTGCAGAATGCTTTGGACGACCTTTGACTGTAAATTTACATGTTGGACACCATCGTCAGATAACATCACACAGTCTCTGCAGCCGGCTGATCGTGCAATGGCCTAAAGGCATCCTCCTCCTGTGGGCCTTTCTTTTCTCTTTACCTTTGACTGCGTGGTGGGCTGCGGCCCACCGCTACCTTTAGAGTGCAGACACATGCTGTGGGGGCCCGGGTGCATCAGCCTAAGATTCTAGTTCTGTCTGTTGCGCGTCATTTTGACGTGGCTGGAGGACATATAGTTCGCAACCCCCGGCTGCATGGTGTGTTGCGTGTAGTTTCTTGGGTTGGCCACACTTTGTCTGCCCTTCACAACCTGCAACCTTCTCTAACTCACTGCGGTTCATTTGTTCCGCTAACCACTGACCTTTGATGCTTTGTGTTTGGAACCACTGACCGGAAGATCGCTGGTGCTTGTCTGCCTACCTGGCTGCCTACCTGGACCGACCCGCTGGGTCCACGGGGCTCTGACGCCGGAGGCAGCTGTGTTTGTAGCGAGAGAATGCCCGAGGCCTGCTGCGGTGGCCTGCCCGAGCCTTCAACCTTCCTCAGGTTCTTTGTTTGTTCGATTTAATTATAGTTAAGTCTTTCTTTTGATGCTTGCTACCGTATAGGAGTGGCTGGGCCAAAAAGCGGCCATTCGTCCTTCCTTCCCGCCTGAAACGGGCTTGGACCCTCCGCTTTCGCGATTCCAAGTTGCGGGGGGAGGGTTCAGAATTATCATAGGATGGAGAATCCGTCATATACCCTGGAAGACGATTCCGACCCTGAAAACCACGGGTTGGGGCCAGGAAAACACTCTTCCAGGGGGCCACTGGTTGTCAGGGTTTACGTCAGTTGACTCGGGAGTGTATACAACTACAACATGCTGGAAATCCATGACACGTTCAGCCGTTCATTGCCGTTCATTGCCGTTCATGGTCTCTGATGGTGATGGTTGTTTTCTGAGGGTCCCAAACCCTAGTTGTGAGGGTCAAAACCCTAGCGAACGGGTTGGGTCCAATGAGGGTCTGTTTCTGACCTTGGGTCATCGATTCCATCTTTCAAGCCACCAACCAACCCTCCCTAAGCGCCATTCCGTCGTGACGGGCGAGATGCGAGCGATGTCTCTCTCCGAACATCCCGTGAGAGTCCTTGAGCTCGACTTCACCGACCCCTTTTGGGAGAGGCCCTCCTCCCAATGGAACAGTATACTTACTACCCAGACGCGACCCATGGGACTGCCATAGGACTGCCGATCAGGCCAGGGGTGATGCCAGAGGGGTCTGTCTGGGGCGACATATATGACAGACACGGAGTGTCTGGGCTACAATATAGTTACAGTATAAGGTGTAGCCCAGTACCAGCAACAGTCGGTAAAAGAGTATCACTATTTTTTGAGATGGAAAGGCCTGCAACTGAACCATCATCATCCACCCAGGGCCCAATGGGATATACCCAAACTATATAAATACATACCTCGAAATCCTCGAACCCATTTGACCTCTGTTTTGATAGAAAGGATCATATTTTGGGTGGTTGGTGGTCCAAAATAGAGGTCATTCAGGTTCTAGCTACCTACAATCACCCCATTTCAACCATCCCAACTGATTGGCGAATGTGCGCACGGAGCTCCACTGCATGTGTGCGCACGGGTCACCCCATCCCAGGTGTGGTCGTCAATGTGGGCGACTATGGCGTGTTTGCGGATATTGGATACGAGCAAAACGTGATTTTGGCCATTCCTCGAAGGCGACCTCGTTGAACGGACGACCCGCGCGTAGCTGGGTCTTTGTGGGGTCACTCCATGCAACTCAGATCTGATCCCTGGTCATCCCTTTTCAACCACATCATGGAGGTAAAGAGTGAGGTAAATAGGTGGTGTCAGACGTTTTATGGTAGAACCCCATGACCATCCTGTTTGGGTCTCCGGGGTTAACCCAACCCTACTCAGGAATCTGCAGCCAGGAGGTCTGGGATGGTCCAGGTGAGCCACCCGGTCGGGACCTAGGGATTTGGTCATTTGAGGTGTGCGGTTGATGGGTGAAAGTGACTTTTCATGAGAGGCCGAGCAAAAGCGCGAAGAAACTGCACAACATCATGCTTGGTGCAGTGCATCATTGAAACAGTCTCAAGTGTCTGACGCCAAGGCCCAAGGTCACACCCCGTCCTCAACCCCGAAAACCAACCACCCGAGTCCATTATGAACAGTGGCGAGTGTCACCCTCTCCCCCAACAAAAGGACCCAAAAAGGTCTAGAAACCAGGCGGGGTGAATTACTGGACACCCCGACTGACCCCTTGATTCGGAGCACACCGGGCAGCAGCCGTGGTGCTGGGAACGATGCAGGTTTTGGCGTCGCTTCCGCCGGGGAGATGTCCTCGAGGCGGATGGGATTGGGGGAAGGAACGACGGATGTCGGAGGTTTGGTGAAAGGGGTCGGGTTCCTCGCGGGCCATCAGTGCAGAACCATGCCATCTACATTGAATCATATTTGCCATCGAATCTAGGTTTGTTGAGCATGATTGAGCATATTTGATCATGCTGTGAGTATTGTTCTGTGTCCACCAGACACACAGTTTTAAGTTTAAAGTAATATATGTTTGACTTTGGAACCACTGAAGCTGAGAGCTCTAAGCTTGGAGCCCGTGCACGAGATGTGATGAACCCGTGAGCGAAATCGAAGGCATCTTGTTCTGACGGAAGGTTTTCCATGGTTTTCCACTCACCAAACTCGTCAAGAACGGTAGAGGTACACCTGTTGGGTGTGTATTAAGACCCTGACCCCTGGCACAGATGTGTTGGTGGTCCACCGATCTTTGTCCAATCTTGGAAAAAGGCTCAGCAATGGATTGTGGATTAGCTATTTTGTAGCTCAGGAACTGGTTTGTCAGTGTATCCTTGTTCAATTCGTTTGTTTTAACTAAATCCCTATACCAGTCCATACCGGTCCCCTTCTCAGTTTCGTTTCCACATCTCCACCTCCAGTCCATTGCGGCACGCCACACGAGGAACACACTCCGCACCTCGGATTTGGCACACCCTTTGAAGGGCTCGTTTGCCGCACTCTTTTGCCAGTACTGGGACTCCAATTCGGTGAGGGACCGGGGCGCAGGGTCCTCATACCGGGACAACGACTGGAGCGCAACAACGGGGAGTAGATCCAGTGACGACCGGCGGGCAGTTCCAGGATTCCAGTTCCACGAAAACAGACGAAAAGCGCGTGGGTTGCCTGGTTCCTCACATTGTGGTTGCCTGGGATCCAGTGGGTTGGCTTGTTCTCCGCACCCCAAATTCCACAGCAACTCAACATCCTACCCACCTTCACTTCCTTTTTGGGGAAGTGGTTTTCCCCACTGAACAAGAACAGATGGAACCAGGGAAACTGATGGAGTCATAGAGGTCCCCTTTTCAATACGTATTTCTTGTGTTCGTCATTGATCACCACATCATTAGTGGACACTGGGATCCAATGGGGGTTCCATCAACTGGCACTGAAAAGGCACCTAGCACTGAAAGTCGTGGGATGTCCTGCTTTGCTTCAATGCGACCTGGCAGGACATGCAAGTGGTGAGTGTTGACTTGAAGATGCGTCGAGCCACAGTCACTCTCCAGGAGAGCCGCTTCCAGCGGAAACAGCAGTGCTATTTCGTGGGTCCTGTGTTGCTCCAGGCTTTGAGTGATTTTGAGTGGTCGGGATTTTTGCGAGGGTCCGATTTCTGCCAGGGAGGGCCGGTTTGGATACTTATTGTAAATGATCAGTTTGATGTAGCAGTTAGTAAAACTATGTAAAACATTGTAAAACTGATTCTCAGATGCTTTGCGGAATTAGCTCATTCATCCAACGGGAGAAACGAACCAGGGGGTCATCATCCTCCGAGCATCGCTTGCTGTTTGGAGGATGTGGATTTGCATGTGGTTTCAAGGTTGAGTCAGATCCACATCCTAATTCTTCAGGTCTAGGGGCCGGAGATGTCCTGAACTTGCAGCTGATTTCGGAGCAAAGCCCCACTGGTACCTGTTCTAGTTTTGACCAGCCTCCAGGACTCCATCCTCGTGGCTGACATGAAGAATCCATAAGCATTAAGAATCCATTGATTGAACCCCAAGAATCCTTGGGCCCTCAAACAGAGATAGGGCTTGGGAACGCCCGTTTTCCCCCTGCGTGAAACGGTGGAGAAGGTCCGACGCCGAGAGCCGCCCGGATTCGCCCAAGAACCCTCGGTGGGCACGGGCACGGGGTCCGGGTCCCGGTCCCAAGGGTCGCACGTGTGGGTCCTGAAGGAGTCCGGATTCTGAGGGAAGTGATTCCATGAACCTGTAGAGCTTTGTCCAGATTCTGACCTGAAGGAACCACTCAGCACCAGAAGTTCCATCAAAACTCTCCATACTCAGAGCTGTTGGTCGGCTCCTCCACGCACGGTCCAAAACCAATGCCGGTTCCCGGACGAAACCAACCCTCCGCTGAGAAGCCGGACGGGCCGAGCCGTCTGCTGCCCGTGAACATCCGTGAACACCAGACGCGACCGAAACGGGAGCGGCCGGCTGACATATATCCCAGACGCGACCCATGGGACTGTATGCCGATCAGTTGGGGTGGTGCCAGGGGGGTCAATGGGGCGGCAGTCCTATGGCAGTCCCATGGGTCGCGTCTGGGTATATTCCTGCGTGGGGTTTTTGGGGTGGTGACATGGGTGGCCATGCTGCAACGGGTCGCTAATGGTCGGACCAGCCCAGCGGGTCGAGCGCCGAGCCGCCGCGCTGGTCTAGGATGTGGAGCAAACGCTGCAGGGCAGCCGCCTTCCTCTTGAGGAGTGGAGACCGTGCCGTCATTGGGGCCGGCCATCGATGTGAGTCAGAGGTGGAGGAGACCGTAGAAACACAACATGTTGAGTCACTATGTTGTCACTATGTCACTATGGAAGTCTAGTTTGACTATTTGGGGGGACCACCTATATAAGTAAAGGAAACTCCTCGACTACGGTCACCTGAAGACCTATTTATGTTATTTTATCCTTTTTTCAAAATGGTCGACTGGACTGGACTTCCATGGTTGTGGCATAGACCAATGAAAGCTATCAACTGCGCCTGGAACTTGTTTGGTCTCGTGCTCTGAATTCGTAAGTACAGTACAGTGAATAGTTGGGCCATACCGGGCTTGGATTAGAACAGGGAGACCCCCAAAAAGGACCTGAGGGAACATCAAAAACAGACTAAACCCCAGCAGTCACAAGACGGGGTGCGATCCATGGAGGAAGTCGGGGTGCCCCTGTCACATCCACGAGCCTTGGATGGGACGAGCCAAACCACCCCATCTTGTGACTCCTGGCCCATACTAGCTTCCATATGGTTTGTAGATCCCCCATATAAAACACACGCACACACATAATACTTGACTCCCAGCTTCTTCAGTTGGTGACCTGGAACTCTTTGGTCCCCTTACTTGTGACCTGTGACAGGCCGACTAAGTAAGCGAAGCAACCAGGATATCAAGGATGGTCGGTGTGCCACGGTGTTCTCGGTACCAAGAAGCAGTTTGACGCAGTCTGGACCTGGAGGGGTCTGAGATGGTCCGAGGTATTCTAAGGTCGAACGAGTCGCTTGGTTTTGAGGGGACTTCTATCGTTCAAAGCTGGAGCTGCTAGTCTAAATCCTTAAGTCCTAAGAGCTCAGTTGAAGGGTCAAAGCCATGAAATCCCATATTGGGCCATCAATCCTCGGGGTGACCTCCCACTGGGACCCATTGGCACCTACGGCACCCGCATGCTGAACAGTCTACGGTGAGCAGAGGAAGAGGACCCACCACGGATTTCCGCCCTTCAACCTCCTGTGTTCGCTGCTGTGCATCTGGGAGGAAGGAGTTCATTTTGGAGGTACAATTTGATGCACGGATGGGACATTGGCCTCCAGAGCCTACTTTCATCTAGAATTATTTGAAGAATCTATATCTGGACCTTCCAACAGGTGGTTCTTGTACACTCCTTAACCTGAACCTCTAAGAGGCTGTTTATAGACACTTCTTGGAAGGTCCCAGGGTATACTGGGTATACATTGATCCGTTAAAAAGACATCCGGACAATCATGATCAAAACCATGATATTCCATGATCATGCCATATATTTGATCATGATCCAGTCGTACCTTCTCAGGTACGGTGATGTGTTCGACACTGTTATTTCCCGGTGCCAAAACGCCGGGTCCAGTGGTACCGAACCTGAGGTTCGGTACATCTGGATGTCCACATCATTGCCCGAAGTCCTTCACCAGGAGCTTCAAGAGGGCAATTACGTGAACGGCGTGGTGGATGCCAAAAACCAGCCCCTCGGTGCTGGCGGCCTTTCGAGGTCAAGACGACCTGAACCCGACTGACCCAGTGCTTGAGAACATGGGACATGACCCCGGTCGTTACCTCAAAATACGAACAAACACCGGTACAGGCGTCCCATCCAGGTCGGTGACCGGGGCACCCCCTCAGCTCCGGTCGCGCCTGTGACTGCTGGCAGAGAGGTAGAGATCTGTACTGTACTTTGGAGACTCCAGGGAGTCACGTCCAGATCCGCATGGAACGTACATCGACCTACTGATCAGTCGAACTGGAGGTCCATGGGACGTGGATTTTTGTAGGGCTCCTGGCCCATATTGTCAGGTTCGGTGGTTAAACCCCTCAAACTTACCCTAACCACCGAACCTCAGGAGGTAGTTGGAGCCCTAGGGTAGTTATCGAACTTGGATGGGGCAACATCACTGGAGAGCACAGGAGTGCCCATGATGTACCAAACAACAGAAGTAGCACTTTCGGATGGTGGTTCGACACTCTTTTGATTTGTAGTCACCATCCGACTTGCCAAATACAAGCGCTTCATTTGTTTTTTTGAGAGGCCCAGAAGACCTCTCCACCAACCCACCCACCCATGTGCCTTTTGTGCGATCCTATCGACCCTCAGAATCCGTGGGCAACATCTTCGCACGTTTCCGGACCCAGTTTCCCAAACCCTATGCCCTAGTTTTCCAAGACCATGAACAACATGGTTGACCTACTTTTTGTATAAAATCCTTATCAGCAAAACGGTGGATTGGAGAAGGGCTTGGGCCAGGATTCTTAGGGTAAGCAATGGTAAGCACATCCCAGACACTCCATGTATGATATGTTCAATTTCCCCCACCTTTTCAACCATGCCCAGTGGATGTAAAGATAGCCAGTCCCACACGAAGCTTGGGGGAAGAACACATCTCCTCTTCAACGTGAGGTTTGGCATCTTCGTGAATATTGGAGCACACAATTGCCATGGTCGTCTTGCAGTGCCGCGCTTCCTGGGCAACCAGCTTCTCAGGGGTCAGGCGCCGCGGCCCGGGCTTTGGACCAAGGGCTGGAAGCGATGTCAAGAATTAATGGTCCGATTCGTTTAGGGAGCAAGAAACGATTTGAAGCGTTTTTATATCCGATATAAAAGGGGTCATGCCTTCTCTCAGTTCCTCTACCGGTCACCAATGGTTCGACCGACGGTTTTTAGGGCCAGAACCCTCAACGGACTGACCGCAGGGTAGACGGCATAGAAACAGATGAACCGTCCCCCATTGGAATTATTGGAATTGGACATCCTCTTCGTGTGGGGGATTGAGACATGGTCAGATCGGACATGTCGTCACCGTTTTTTTTCTCAGACATGACTGGCTTGATCGGGATTGAGACATGACTGGTCAGACAGTCATGTGTCCCGCTAGGTCCTGCGAGATTTGTGCATCGCCACCGTGGATGTGGAGAACAAGAGAGTGCCGGACCCAGTGAGGGTAGTGGTCCGGTCCACGACACCTATGGGACTGGATGAAGAGGCCTGGGATGAGTCCCCCATTTTTTTACAGTATATAACTGGTCATACCGAGCCCCACCCCTGATCCAACCACCCGCAGGATCCAACGTACCCGGCAGGATTTTCCGAAGTCCTCACCATCGCACCAGTCAGCTTGACCCGCTCGACTTCAAACGCGAGGTACGTCTCATTATTGAAGATTTAGACTCAGCCATCGCCGTGGGGCCGCTCAGGGTTCCCCCTCACATGAGGGGCGCCGGCACATGCCGGCACCGGGATGGGGCGTGAGGGGTCACATCGACGGTGATGAACCAGCCTTCCAAGGCTACCAGGGGCCCGAACCAAAGAATGAAAAACCAACGTTTTCGCAATATACAAAAACCGTGTTTTTGAACACCTGTTTTTTCATGGTTTGTGGGGCCCCTGGTAGGATAGACCCTGGATTTGAATTCTACTTGTAGGTTGGAGACCATCGCTATTAGGTCTCGACCACACGAGACGTCGAGACACGAACCATGGCATGTCTTCGGCGATGAGTCTGGGAGTTGGTTGGACTACCTGGAGTCGACACGGAAAATGGGTCCCATGCACCGGAACCGGAACCAAGTCTGGTGGTTTTTGGACACCTCTGAGACACCTCTGAGACACCCTCCAAGGCGGTCCTTGGCATGTACCTGTTTTTTGGGGTTCGGGTCATGTCCCAGTTTCTCGAGTCCTTGGAGGGTCCGGGTGTTCTTAAAAATGGTCTTTCGGTGACCACACACATCTCGAGGTCACGAAGTCCGCCCCCCAAAAAATAGCCCTTGAAAGCTAGTGAATTTTCTTTACTTTGATGGTGGTCCCCAAAATTGACTTTTTGGATCTTTTTGGACTTCTAGGCCAGGCTGAGTGTTTCGAGTTTAGACCGAAACTATGCAGTCGTGTTCGAATTCCTTGAGAACCGGTAACGTCTCTATAAGCCAATGCATGGCAGGCTACGCCCTGGAAGAGACCCACATGGATCCCAAACAACTTTTCAGATGATTCATGGTGCCCAAAGGCTCATTGGACCCAATCCGTTCGCTAGGGTTTTGACCCTCACAACGAACGTGACATGGACCGAACCAAGAGATGTAGCAGTTGCCCAACGGGGTCGGCCGGCTTCGGGTCGCGTCTGGGTGTGGTGGATCCGCTTCTGTCGCTCATGGGTCGACCCGTCGTTTCGGTCGTCCACCGGATCGAGCGAGCTCGGGAGCCTGAAACCTCTGACTGCCGGAGCTGAACATCGATCTGAAGCCCGGAGCTAGACCAGGGCGCCCGAGCCCTGGTTTTGGGGGGTGTCCAATTTAAAAGGCTCCAATTTTGGTGACGGATCTCCTCCCGTCGACGAGTCCATCTCTGTTCAGACCACCCAGCCGAGCCCTGGGAAGGCTTTGCTGCTCGCTCTCGGTCCCCTTCGTGGAAACTCAGTCTGCTCGCCTCTCGAGGATCCGGAGATGGTCTCTTTGCAGACGATGACTGCAGACATGGACGAGAGACCACCGAAGGCCTGGCCGTTGTGAGCCGGAATCAACGGGAGAACCAGACGTAGAAGAGACTCGAGACCCCCAATTGGTCCAATTGGTCGGGTGCATTTGGGGTGATTCCATGAAACTTCAATCACGACTTCAAAAACTATGGTCAGAGGCAGTGACCTGAGTTTGAATAGATTCACTATGCATATAGTCTGATAATCTGATAGGTATCTGGCACTTAGGGCACACAATGATGCATGGATCATTCAGTGGCCGGCTCGATCGCGCGATCCGCCATCTGCATGAGTTTGGGTCCATGGATCATTCACAGTCTGACTGGATGCCACCTCCATGCCACCCCAGCCACCCCATGCCACCCTCCACATTGACCACTCAAAGAACATGGCGAGCCGCGTACCGGTGCGGTTTCGGTAACAGCTCCGGTGGCTGAACCGAACCGAAAAACAGCCGGGTAGGAGCCGATGCGCTAGGAGGTCGGGTCACGTGGGTCGGGTCCGAAGCAGCTGTCGAACTTGGGCCAGCTTGGCATTCCCGTGCCCCCAAGCCACCAAATACATCCGTAGATATCCGAAGCAAGCTCAAACGCTGATCGTAGAGCCTGATATACTCAGTAATACTCTCCTTTCGATGTTGGGTTCGGAGTCATCGAGTCATCGCCTTTCGTGTGGCCACTTCTTCCCTGATGTTCCTGCACTCTGGTTGGAGAGACTGAAGGTCGTTGGGCCGTTGAAGACATGCCCTGCAGGTGGAGGAACCTATGCAGCTGCGGCCTCAGAGACAGCCCCTGCGAGACTGCAGCTTTACCACCCTAGCCAGTACCCTAGCCTTCCAAGACCATAAAATGAATGACCTGGTGTTGGAGTGTCAAATTCAAATCCTTAGTCCTTAGTAGAACAATGGTTTGTTTGGTATACACTCCAAGAAGGAAACCTGCTTTGACCCGGTGGAATCAGCTAGGCTGCAATAACAGAAGCAGCAAGAGTCCTTGCGCCGGGTGGATGGGCGGGTACGGGCTTGAGCCGTCCAGTTTGGCTCAAGTCTGGGGTCCAGGTTTCCCCCATCAATTTAGGTGGGGGGGGTTGATGCGCCCTGACCGGATGGGGGAACCCTAGATAGTTGGACGACGTCGAGCGATGCAGCGAGCTGGGGAGGATTATAGATGTTGCCTTGACATGGCTTGACAAGATGTGTTTGTAGGCAACTAGGCGACGCAGACCTGGACTCGCTACAAGTGATGGCAGTCATGCCTGTTGATTCGTTTGAGCAAGCATTGAGCATAGCAATTCGTGGAACTCGTTCATTGACCGAGACGGAGAAAGCCTCCAAGGGCTCATCAGTGGCAGGCTCCTGAAATTCTCAAAGTAAGTTAAAAACATGTGTATGTGCACATTTGTTTGCTTGAAACTGTGGTTGATTGAACTTTTTCATGTTCGATGCAATCCTCGTTCTGGATCTGATCCTCTTCCAAGGGCTCATCAATGACAGGCTCCTGAAATTCTCAAAGTAAGTTTAAAACTAGTTGTAGCAAAATCAGGTATGTGCACACATGTTTGCTTGAACTTGTGGATTTTGATGTTCAATGCACTCCTCAAGATCGATCTGCTCCGCTTCGGGCTGCATATCCTCCTGCTCCTCAATGTCCTGATGATCCTGGCAGTATCAGTCAAAACAATATGATCCACATCCCTGCAGCAACATCAAGACATGTTTTTTTCACTGACATGTTAAATCTACTTAATGAGTTTTGCTTTGTCCTCTTCATGGATCGCTGCCTGAGAAGAAGATGAAGCAGCCTTGGGAGCAATGATGTATATTATTTCATGTTTGTTGAGGCGTTTGTTTAGGGCACCATTCTGGCACTAAGCACTTCACACCGCGAGCTGGTGGAGGAACAACACGTCCACACTTTGGAGGAGGAGGAACAACATGCGGCACCGCCTGAAAGTCAAAAGGAATAATGACAAAGAGAAATGACAACTGATATCTAAACCAAGAGATGTTCGAAGCAGTAGATACATGTAGATGATTCAGATGGATGGGTAGGTGGGTAGCTAGATAGATTGGACCGGTAAGAAACAATAGTGAAGATGATTTCAGATTTGGTTTGGATAAAAGATAGATGGAGACAGAAGAAAAAGAGAGAGAGAGAGAGAGCGAGGGAGGGACAAAGACAAAGATACAAATATATTATATACTTTGTACACATATATAATATATACATGCCAATTCAAAGAAACAAGAAGGTATATGTTACATGAAAGCATATTGTAATATATATATATGATATATGAGTCAGCGTCAAAAGTATTGTTTGGAGCTGTATTCATAGGTAAATTAGGGTGTCCCCTATCGTTTTTCAAGTTTTGGCAGTTTGGCCATAACACAACTCAAATCAGATTGGTTTTCCAGCGTGGCCACAAGCAGGATCTGAAGCCATTTTACACTGTGCCAGAAGCGGAGCTGTTTGAACTGGAGCTATCTGTGCTTCAATCACTGCTGGATTCCTCCTGCTGCAATCGGTTTCGTTCTTTGGTTCTGTGTTTTGATCGCTCCACCTGAAGAAGCCACCTCTCAATCAAGTTCCGTGAATCGGGCAGCAAAGAGAAGGGAATATCAGTAGCTCCTGGCAACTGCTCGCCCTGCGCACTTTGGCGCTTGTAAGGCTTGTTTCGTCATGTCTTCCCAGCGGAGCAACATCATGATCCCACCGAGATGTTGCTATTCGTTCCAGAAGCCGCGTCTATATTCGGCAGCTGTGTCATTGCTCGGACGCAGCTCTGTCTCACCTGTGACGTCTCTGCTGGCAACCATATTATAGAAACTGTGATTGCAAATGCGGACTCCCAAGCGTGAGCGTGCCTGCTTCACTGGCGTTGACGATATGCGACAAGTCCTTGTTATATGGAAGTTCTTGATGTTCAACGCAAACCGCTCCCCCGCTGAGCAGAGGAATCATCAATGACACAAAGAAAAGGAGAGGTAGGACCTGGACACCGCCAGTTGTCAGCACTATCTTGAAGATACTTATGCAGGTCACTGATTTCGATCAACTCTTTTTTGTTGCTTCGCCTCCTTCACCATGCGCTCTCAAACAATGCAAAGGGGGCGATCGGCTTCACACCCCCAGTGGACCACCACTCTGCAGCCGTAGCAAGGCCTACCCTGTTGCCACGGCCTGCGTTCGAAAGTGGCCGTGCATCTGCTTGTAGTTCCACCGATCCCACTCCTTAGCTGTTTGAACCATGCAAAAAGTTTGGAGTACCTAATACTCAGAAAGACACTGTCAAAGGCTTGCTTCAAAGGATTCCATGGTTGATCAACACTGAACGCTGACAATGCTGGAATGCTGGATGTGCTGCATGAAAGGACTCCTGCTTCCGACGTTCCTGGGCCCAAAACCCTGTCCTGCACCGAATGTCAGCCTGGGCAGCCAAGTGCCAAGCATCTGGGTGTTGAAGAACCCGTGCACGGAACTCTGCAGCATACCTGTCTAACGTGGGCCCGATTGGCGAGTTGGATCATCAGGGCAGCAGTCCTAAAGATACGCCAGGCCTCCTCCCATGCCAAGCGTCCAAGTTCATCGCCCCTGGCAACTCGATCGCCTTCCATTGGCCATCTCTCCACTGTTGACTCACACATCGCATAGCTCTGGCAATGCCTTCTCCGTGCGGCCCCCGCACTGCCATATCAACGAAGGCCCACTTTGAACCTTGTAAAAGAGGCATGACAGCTGAGCATTTGTAACCCCCTCCTTGCCCAGTGGGCTATCACCTTTTGACTATGCGACTTGAGCTCTCATCTTTTGCAGTCTCTTGCAATGTGGCACACTCGGCAACATCTCGACCTCGAAGTCACAGCCTTGATCAATGACTTGGCTCATTTTGAGCTTCAACTTAGCCCCTCCAGTCAATGCTGGCTCTGTGGATGGTGAAGCCGCTGTTGTTGAACCTGTTGCAACTGTAAACTACGACAAACTCCCATACTTCACACGTATGGCCGTATGGCGCTCTGCAGCAACAACCACTTGGCTATACGGCCCAAAACAATTAAGAGGGCTGGGCTAACCAGCCCAAAAGCTGTTGAGAGGACTGGGCTATCCAGCCCGAAACAGTTAAGAGGGCTGGGCTAACGCAATCTGATGGAGACACGTTGCAGCAATGTTTGTGTCTGCTATGCGACGGCGTGTTTGATTTGAGAAGCGGACATCTGGTGGCTTGAGTTTGCGTGATGAATTCCCGGATGTACTGGTGGAGGCGCTTGGGGCAAGGTTTGGCCACCGTGGGCTTTTATGCTGCAGTAAGTGTTAACCTTGCGTTAAAGATTTTTCGGGATGCTCCAAAAAGAAGAAGCTGAGTGGTCTTCGGACTTGTTCGATTGGCTGGCGTTCTAGAAGCTTTCTTTGACCGAGATTTTGGGTCTGGAAACAATGGCTTGCCCATGCGCATCACCCTCAGAGCCTTCGACTTGGAACGCATCCCGGAGAGAGCGCAGCTTCGTGATTCCCCAGCTTTTTGTCTCGTCAGGATATAGTCCCTCATCTTGATGGCTGGCCCGAAGTGGTCCAAGGCGCAACGGCGTGGGCCGTTGGCCAGGTCGAAGACTGCCTATACCTTGTGAGGGAGAATTGTTCGGTCTACGAACTTCTCCTCGCAAAGTTCGAGGAAAGGGGCATTCGCCGCGCCCGCCGAACCGAAAGTGGCAGGCGTCGCTTTAGCGCAACGGCGGTGAGCCGCAGTAAGTATATAGGATCGCTTTGGTGGGCTGAAGGGCGAAATCTCACGAATGCGGCGTTTAGAGCGATCTAATCTACAATTCGCTGTCCTCAGTAGGATTCACCCGCTGCATCAGACGAACAAAGAGGCAGAGCAGAATAGCCAGAATAGAAGAACCAGTTCTTTTTTTGCTTAGCTCTTTTGAAAGAAAGTCCCTATGGGTGAATCCCTTCTGGCACTTCTGGTGAGACTTGTTATTTTGTCCCGGATCTTAAGAACATCCAAAACAAGTTACATAATAGGATTTACCCTGAGAATCCTTGGGCCCTCCAATGGCAGGTCCGGACCGTCAAAGCCCTTCCCAATCCGGATTCTTTTCTGAGCGTATCCAGTCAGTCTCCAGACATTCAGGGATAAAGTAGGAGTCTGAAGGAACAGAATATAGGCAAGACATACCTAGATCGTCATTAGGATTCATTAGATCATTAGGCAAACATATCCGCCTGTTTTTACAAAGAACGCCTTAGTTGCGGCCTCGAGGGTCAACAACTCCGAAGCACAAGTACATGCATTCTGACATGCAAGAGGCAGAACCAGAAATTTAATTTTAAAACATGTGAGAAAACAATGGCATTGCCACCCGATGCAGTCCTTGATCTAAAGATTTCAAAATTCATATCATTCACCCCTCCCCAAAAAGCTACAATTCCTTTGTCAACCCAACTACTCGTTGCAGTGAGGGGGAACGGGTCAGAATGCCTAAATGACCGGGAAAGAGGCGTACGCAAAAAAAGGAGTCAATGCATAGCAACACTACAAACACGTGAAACATCAAGTGAATTCTTGATAACATCTGATAACCAAATGATGTTCATCACCCTAGAATTTCCTGGAACCAGTCAATAGGCAGCAATTCCTGCCCCCCAAAACATATGAGAGCGGGTGTGCTTGGGAGAGCGCACACTAGCTCAAAACCTTTAGAAAACACTTGAAATACAATGCAAAATTTCAAAAACTGCTCTGGGACCTAGGCGAAACGTATATTTTTCAACCTTTCTGTGCCCAGTCTGGATGTGCAATGTCAATTTATTAACAGCTCTTCGTCTGCCCACTATCAATGTGTAACATCAATGACAAGTAGGTTCATCTTTCTCTGCACGCAATGAATGTAGCATCATGAGCGGATATAAATATAATACTATGTATATATATATATATCAAGATGAACATGTATGTCAATGATGTTGCTTTTTATGTGTCCATTTTGTAAAAAACATCTCCCAGGAGCACCCGTATTGTTAATAAACAGTGCCCCCCTCCCCCCTCACTTTGACCGTGAATAAAAAAGGAGTTTAAGAAGTAAATGACATGAATCTTTACTTAGGACAAGTTCCTGAAATTGAGATCAAAGAGACTTCAAAGAAAAGAATTTAATCAGGAAATGAAAGAATCTTTCGTTGACACAGAAAGGAAATTCTAGGAAAGGAGTTTAATAAGGAAATGTAATGAATCTTTACTTAGAACAGAAAGAGAATTCTAAGAAAGGAATTTAACAAGGACATGACATGAATCTTTACTTAGATACTTAGAACAGGCAACAAACATGTTTAGCTTTATTTATATAGGGCGCACTGTATTTAGGGTATGGTGGCTTCATGAGGGGTAGCCTTTCCAGAGTCGTTTTGGTCGAATTTCAATGGCTTTTAAATAAGGGTTTGATAAAGAAATTTCTACGCAGGACTTGCGTTTAGCGATACTGTCGGAAGCACAGCACAGTGGCGCCAGTTCTCGGCAAAAGCCATTGTACAAACCCTGAAATCTATGCATCCGTGTCAGAAATGCAATATATTAAAAATATTGTGCAACTTATCACGAATGTCGGCGCGACAAGGTTTGAGAGAAAACCAAAACACAATGAAAACAACAACCAAAACAACAAAAAGCTAAACAACACAAACACATTAAACACACGACGCAAAAACAATGTTTGAGACAAAATGGAGGCAAAACAAAAACAAAGATACAACGCCTATAGTATCACCATTTTGTCTCCAACATTGTTTTTTGTGTTTGTGTTTTGTGTTTGTTATTCTTGTAGTTCTTGTGTTTTTTGTTTTGTAGTATTCCCTCAAAACTGTTGTAGGCCTGGCCCTCACAAAATTGATCTAACAAGAGCTGAACAAAATTAGGTTTTGGTGATGTTTTAACCAAAAAATGTTGTAAGCCAGAATGTACTCTCTCAAAACTGTTATAGGCCTGGTCCTCACAAAATTGATTTAAACATAGCTGAAAACTAAGGTTTTGGTGATGTGTTAACCAAACATCACTGTAAAACACTGTGTTTTTGATCACTTCTTGCACAACAAACATCTCCCAGGAGCACCCGTTCTGAAAAATATCTAGGTTTACGTCTAATCCTCTCGGCTCACATCTCGAAGGAAAAGACCTCAACGATCGAAAAAAAAAAATCAAGTTGAGTGACTTTGCTCCACATCCCATGCGAAACAACTCACCTGCGGTCACCGTGCCGAGGCCCGAGAAAGCGCCCAAGGCGGTGCCCAAGTCGCGGAGCAAAGCGCCCAAGGTCCGAAAGCGGAACTCGCGTCGTTTCCAACGCGCGAGGATCGCGGAGTGCCCCGATTGAATCCACACGGGCCCTCTCCTCCGTTTCACGCAGAGGTCCGGACCCGGTTCCCCAACCCTTAGTGTTGGCGAACCGGGCCCGGATTGAAGGGCGCTGAGGTTCGGAGAGGAGGATCTCGTGGAGAGTTCGGGGACTGTTTGGAAAGTCTGGACCCGGTGGCTTTTGGGGGGGCTTAAACCCAGACGCGGGGGATTGGATATGGGATCAGACCTGGAAAAGCATGGAAAAGCAACGAACAACCTTTCAGTCCCACCCCAAAACAGCTTGAAACACTGTGAAACAGCTAGTTCTGGCTGTTCCAACCCACCACATCCCCAGAAGGTGGGATGGGTTTGAAGGTGAGGATATGGTTGGAGCCCCATGGAATATGGAGATCATTGGAGATCCCCTTTGCCTAGGAAGTGGCAACAACCGGAGACTTCTATTCTGGCTGGTTTCGGGTTGACCGCGTCGGGCATGTGCAGGGTCCGAGCCGGGTGCGCTGGGACTTGTGATCCATCTCCCGTAGTCCAGAGTCCTCAATCCGCTGTCGTTGGTCGTTGTTGCCTGCAGGTGGAACAACCAAAGCAGGAGACCCGACCGTGCCTGTTGACCCTTTTGGCGCGCGACATTTCCGCGCGACACGACGAGTCAAGCTCCGGAAAGATGAGTCGGATGGTTTTGAGGCCAGGGGGCACAACGTGCCCCTTGGAATACAAAATTTGAGGCTCAAACACTGGGTAAACTTTTGGTACTGTAATTTGTATACAACATGCCTCGCTTGTTTGGCACATCGGCACCAGTACCATCACTGCACTCCTCCCAAACTACCCTTTAGGGACATGTTCTTTTTGTCATCCCTTCGGAAGACCGCGTTCTTTCAGCGTGGGGCAGGACCTTGAAGTGGGTGATTTGGTGGATGGCATCGTAGCGCAAATCAACAATAAGGGCGTGTGGGTGGCTGGGCATGAACCGCTATGAACCGCGTGGATCGTGGATCCGCTGGGCTTGGCTGGGCAACCGTTCGAGTTCTTTGATGGCCCTGGGACTTTCAGCAATGAGTTTCTTTCTGACTAGGTGGAGGTGTTTGCAGCGGGAGGTGCCCGGAAGGTAGCAGGTTCCGTCCTTTTGATTCCTTTTGTGTGTGGTGCTTTTGCGGTAGTAATATGCGACCCAGAGAATCCTTAGACCCTCCATAGCAGGGGTTTGGACCCTGAAAACCTTTCCCATATTGATTGGTTTGGGGTAGGATTCTTAGGGTATATTCATGGGTTATCTATGGTAATCCATATTCTCGTCATGTGACACAGTACAGATGCTTATCTCTTCCATATTTTGCTTCTCCAGCCTATTCCATGATGATGATCAAGGTCCATTTCTTATGGCTTGTGACACTAGTTCCTTGTTCTCGGACGGGGTTCTAAGGCAAGCTTCGACGTTGAATGCCGTTGGCCTGGCGCCATGTCGCCTACAACCATGATGCTTCTTTGGGATTCGGACCATCCTGTACCATCCCATACCCTAGGGCTCCAGTTGTACCTTCGTTTCGGTTCGGTGCGACTGGGGCCCGGGTGCCAGCAGGGTCCAGTCATACCAAACCTGAGGAGTGACTGGGGTGCGGTCCTCACTAACCGTGGGTGGTTGCCCATCCACCGGGCACTGGGGGCATCGCAAGCTGCGGTCGACCTGGGCGCCAGGAGTATAGACACGAAGGATTTACACCTATTTACAGCATCCTTCATGGTGTCTTTACCCTTCATGGTGTATTCAGACCTCCAAAATTCAGCTGCTTTTGGACGGAACCGTTGGCGCCTCACTTCCTCCATCGATCTCCAAACGGCTACGGATCCGACCACTGAGGTGGACTTCGACGGGCCCGAGCGTGGTCTACTCGAGGCATCGACCTCGGCCGATCTCGGCGGTTTTGGGTGGTGGTTTGGACCAGGGGCCCGAACCAAACCATGAAAAACACATGGCGTTCACAAAAAACCATGCTTTTTGGCTATAGGGAACACCAGGTTTTGGATGGTTTGTTGTGGGGCTTCAAAAAGGATCCAATGGAACACCCCTTTCGAGCCGGATAGCTCGCGTGGTGACGGCGCGTTCAAAGAGCGAAACGATGCGAAACGGGTGTGGAACGCTTCTGTTTTTTGGTTTGTCAAGTCGTAAAACAGTTTTGGGTGATTTTGTTTCCTTAGAGAAACATGACATCAAGGACGGAGCTTTTGGTTGAAATGATGGGGGGTGATGTATTTCACCGAAGAGACACCCAAATTCACATGAATTCGAGAAGACAATTCAGAGGCAAACGGAAGGGTAGTGCACAGAAAGTGTTTTCCAAAATCCTGTTCTACTAACATCGTGGAAGGCGCGGGACATTCGTAGAACCCAAGGCTATTCGTGGACAGTTCGTGGAATGGTGGGCCAGTAGGAGAACTGACTGCAACGAAATCCCAGAAACCTTCGCAAAACTTCGTGGAAGGTATTTTTGGTGCACTAACTTCGTATAAGCGATTTTTGCTGACCCCCTTTCTCCACACACCCTCCATTTAGCCTTCAACAATGCACACCAGCCCATACACTCCATTTATGAATGTATTTTGCCTGACCAGCGCAGCGTAATCAGAACATTGATCCATCCCATCGAATCAGCGAGATGTTTGGTGAACATTTGATCTTCAACCGGCCCCAGGTGTTTGGGTTTTGAAGAGCTCCACTATATAGTCTATATAGTATATTATTATTACTATAATATTGTATGTGATTATGTACCTGGACCTTCATGTCGGGGCGTGGCTGGAGATCACGGATAGTCGTGGGCTGGGGCGAGCTTCCAGCCTGACATGAAGGTGCGCCGTATGTTATTGTTATTGTTATGTTGCTTCAACATTGTAGTGTTATGTTATTGTTATGTTATTGAAACTGTTATTGTTAATGTTATTTTCATTGGTGCTTCTGGTCGTTTCTTTGCTGTTTGCCAATCTTTTTGAGCTTGGACGCGAGCTACAGGAACTTTTCATCACATGTGCCGAAACCGTGGGTCGGTTGGGGCACCATGCCCAGACACTCCTGAAGGGAATATCAACATCCCTGCGGGCGGTGGAAAAGGGTTCCATGTCCCATTGAATGGTCCAGGTACTTTCTCATTATAACTTATATACACCATATTCCATCATATTCCATCCATGAAGCCTTGATGGTACACCTCATCTGATTTCGCCGATCCCCCATGGCTTGGCCCAAAAACGAACCACGCCGATCCCCCCTCCCTTCGTCCCTTCCTTCGGCCGGTCGCTCAGCGGACCCGCTCCAGGTACCTCCAGAGCTCAAGGGCGAATTCCGCCGGGGGGATTCCGTGCAGGGCATGCGCATCGAGGACGGGCGCGGCCGCAAGCTCTTCAGTCCCGCTTCCGGTCCGGTTCGCCGGGTTCGTGATGAGATGTTGTGAGGGTCAAAACAGGTCAAAAGCATCTACTATATACTGAGACATACTGACATACTCTTAAATAGACAAATTAAGTAAAACCCCAAAAAGCCCCTCCATACTTCAGTAAACTGAGGGTCCTCTCTGAGCAGTACCATCCAAAGCTGCCAAGGTTAAAAAAGCATTAAAGTCCAATCAGGAGACTCACTGCCAGATCTTTAGTTGAGGGTTGGGAAGGGCCCTGCCTACCAGCACCCTCCAACAGATCATCACCTGCAACTTTTAAGGCTGCAAAAGCCACCATTTCGGAGATGGTTTTGTAATGTTGTGTAGGGCAAAACTGCAAAACCCCTAGTAAAACAGCTCGGGATGACCCGGCTACTATATCAAGGGTGGGCCACCACTTGGATCGGGAACGCCCGGCCCGTTTCGATCGGCTTCGCTGCGAAGTGGCGGGGGGTGCGAAGAGGAAGATGCTTGGCCTTGGCTTCGAAGCCCATGTCATTGGTCTTTCAGAGGCGGAATTTCAATATATATACCCTAGAAGTCCAGTTCGACTATATTTTGACTGGCTGAAGTAAAGGAAGTTCCCTTTCAGGTCCCCTAGTCAGACCATTCTTTTTCTAGTCGACTGGACTCCCAGGGTATATATATTCCACTGTATTTACTAAAGGATCTTCCGCTGCAAAACCAGGTCAACCAGTTTGAAAGATTGTCCCACCTAAGGCGAAACGGGATGGCATTGGCAGCATCGGATCCCATTCTTGCAGTATGGTCTGCTTCGTTCTCCTCGCTCCGACCGGTCCAGGTGTCGGACAGACCTTCACAGTTCCGACAGATCAAGCAATCCAACTTCAGAGCACCAGCTTCCCAATGTGTTTGCTCTCCGGGATGTTTTCAATATGACATGACATGTATACTCCAGGACTATACTATACCCAGACACCTCAATGTAGGGAACTAATGATCATATATGGCACCCGCCTGGGAGTGTGGAGCTTTCACCCGCCACCGCAGGGACCGCTTTCACGCCCCGTTGGGCTCAGAGGATCCGTTCGGCAGGAGCTTCCGGATCATGGCCCTCCGGTCTTGTCAATGGAAGAGCCTGAACTCGAGGAGTGGTCGTCCATGGGCGTGGCTTGCGGTCGTCCATGTGGGTTGCGTGGGTACTGTATCCATGGGTAGATACGCGTGCTTTTCATCCATGGATCAACACCTAAAGCTCCACGTTCGCAGATTGACCTCCCTGGTGCTCCGTCGCGTCCTTTGGTCCGTCGCTGTGGCGAACCAATTGAACCAAGGTTTTTTCAATAACAAAGAGTCGTTCACGAGTCGGTTGCAGTGGGCCACGACCTGCCTTCCAAACAGTTTGGTCATATGTTTTTTCATCGCAGCAGTGGTTTCCTAGAAACATGTTTATTATACTCTTCTAGCTAGAGTCACGCATCCAAGACCAACAGTCTTAAGTGTTTCTTCTGTAGTGAGCCCTCACATTTGTAGATAAAATTTGAATTCGTATTGAATTTCTCTAAAACATCTGGCCCTAGGGATCCAAGTACCTTCTCAGCAGGTGATTGGAGACACTGATTATTTAGGTTTGGAGGGTCCAAGTACCTTCTGAGAAGGTACTTGGATCCCTAGGGTGGGATCAGATCAATACCGTCTTTGATTCCAACGACCTCATCAAGCCCGCCAGCCCTTTCGCGCCCTCCAGAGAAAGGTGGAAGAAGTCAAAGGGAGGAGCAAGAACAAGCCTCAGGGCAAGGCATGGGCCAGCGACCGCCGGTCCATGCGACGCGGGTCCCGTGGCGGTTGGTGAACATGAAGCGGAGGTGAGGAACGGACGTCGACACGGGTGACCCTTTTGGCGCTCAGAGGCCCGTTCTGGGAATTTAAAGCATGTTAAAGTTAAAGTAAAAAACACCAGGGTGCCCATGATCCACTCGCTGAGGTTCCAAGCACCAGCCCGAGCTCGAGCTCGACTCCTGGTTCACACCACACCCAAAGACATGCAGGACCAAGCAATGAAGAGGTTCCCGGTGACCGCCGGTGCCCCCGGTGTTCCCAGTTGATCCGTTGGTGAGTACCATCCGGACTGGGAGATGTACCTACATTGGGGTGGTTGAAAGGGATTCATGTATAGGCATATATGCCATACATGGAGTGTTTAGGTTTGGACACTCTCCGCATCTGAAATTAATCTGTACCTGCCCAGCAAGTCCAAAGGACGGGTTAAACTGGTGCGTTAGCGTAAAGGACGCATTTCACCTCCCAACTTCCAAGACCTAATGTTCACAGGTTTTTCACGGCCTTTCACCCTGTTTTCACGGGTTTTTCACGTCCTTTTCACGGGTTTTTCACGGCCTTTTCAAGCTTCCAGCTCCCGTTTTGCTAAAGCACCGGTTAAACCGGTGCGTCACTAAAGAACTGGTTAAACTGGTGCGTTGACCCACTGGGCTGTATCAGTGCTCCATTTCGGGGTGTAAAATTAGCACCTTAACTATAGAGGTTAAAGGGGCGTCCATTAAGAACTCCTTGTGGATCCTGGTTTTCACTTAGCATCCCATGCCTTTGTGGAGGGCACCCATGACCCACTTCATTCAATCTCTCTGTGGATTGGAATTGGACTTTGTGGAGTCACCAGCTAATTAGAAGGACAATATGAGCCATGGTCAAAACTTGCGAAGACGACTTAGTAAAGAGGGGCAGGTTTGTGCACAAAACACTATAAAACGATAAGGTCCAATTCAAAACAGACAATGTTTGTTTTTTAGTTGAGTAAACATAAGTGTTGATCGTCCCTCATATATAATAATATATATATATATACCCAAACCATCCATGGGACTGGAAGATATGCCCCTGAAATCAACCCCAGCTGCTCAGTATACATCGGCCATCCATGTGTCTGGGATAGGCCATCCTGGCGACCTGGAGTCTCAGATCGTACCCGGCCCAGTCGTAGCTGTTATACCAAGACCGACACCATTCGAGGTGTCTATGAATAGCCTCTGTCGAGGTGAGAATAGCCTGGCCCAAAAAACACCGGACGCGCGGTTTCGGTCCTGGTAGGCATTTGTCTGAAATCGTTCACTTGTCTTCCATGAGCTGCTCTGGGTAGTCTTCTGTGTTTGAGTGTAGTTCATTATGAAATTTATGAACTCATTATTAAAAAAAGAACTGGTATTTTTGGTATTTTCCTCTAGGTCTTTGGTATTTTTGATATGTTTTGTATTTCCTTTAGGAAATACTTCAATTTTTAAGATTTTCCTCTGCCTAAGCAACACGGAAAAATACACACGCTCACAGCGCTGGTTTCATTCTATAGAATGTTCCTTCTCATGCAGTAAAAAGCACAACTTGACTTAACCCTAGGGCTCCAACCATATCCTCAGAAGATGGTTAGACCCCCCTGGCACCCACCCCAACCACCGAACCTCAGGAGGTGGGCCAGGAGCCCTAGGGTAAAGTCAATGGTGGGGAGACTTCCGCTCCATCAGACACTTTTCGCTACACGAAGTCTCCGCTAGCTCTGCTCGCGCTCCGCTCGCTCATCAGGCCAAAGGTAAGTCGAAGCGCGGCTGAGAGAGACCTGAGATGCTCATCGCGCTGAGTAGTGTGTGATCTGCTCCGCATGCGTCGTTGATGCCATGAACAACAACAACCACAACCACAACCACAACAACAACAATGACAACGAATACAACCACAAAACGCAACCGCACAACTGCTATACAACGCCAAGTAATGCAGCTGCACTGACGGACCACGGATGTCTTTGAAGACAATCGCTCCACTTCTCTTGGAGTTAGTTCCCGAAAGTGGGGAGACCTAGAGGTGTTCTTTCATTTGACTGTCTTCGACTCCCAGCATTGTCCTTCTTTATAGTATCAATATATACCCGTACAGGCGGTGTTTTCGCTGTGAACCTGAGTGAACCCCCAGTTCCACAAGTTCAAAGGAAGCACATGTTGGGCAACATATCAATCATACCTCATACCTAGAAGGGGCCGATCCAGTCGTACCGAACCTCAGAAGCTGATTGGACCCTTCAAATCAAACCTACCGACCACAGTGTCTGTCGAAAACATCACCGTACCGAGGGTGGATCCCTGGAGCCCCAACAAGGGATATATCCCAGGCAGCCGAAGAAGTCGGATCCCAGGCAGCCCACAGGTGAAGAAAGTTTTTTGGAACCCACTGGTTACCAGACAACCCACTGATAAGATCTGTTGACTATACAGACTAGATCTCTTATTCTTCCGCCGGGTTAGGTGGTTGTTTATTCATGTGACTCATCTAACAGACGTCGAGTCGCTCACGTCCCTGCGATTTTTCCATGACACAGACAAGCACCAAAGCATGTGACGTGAGGAGCGCTCTCGCCCGTTTCACCCTTTTGCTCCGGGACGATCGAGGTTTCCCCGGTTGCTTTTGGCAGCACGACCTCCCGCAAGTTGCATCGCGCGTTCTCGCACAAGTCGACTAGTCGATGTCCTAACCTGGTGAAATGAAACGCAAAGAGAGCTGTTATTAGGGTCAAGGCCAGGAGCCTGTTTCAACCTGGTAGGTTGACCGGGTTGTCAACCTGTGCGTTTGTTCATTTTCGGTGGGTGGTCAACCTGTGTCCCCCGGTTTTGACGCACAGCCTTATGTCTTTGCACCTTATCTGAAGTGGACGGTGTATATATATAGGTTACAGGCTATACACAGGCTTATACTTACTGGTAAACTGATGTGTAACCGTTCCAACTGAGAGAGGGTGCTTTGAAGATCCGAAGTGAGTGCAGGATAGGCACCTCCCCTTCAAGAAGAAGCCTGACTATTCTACGCCTTTCCCGGTCGAACACGGTACAACATATGGGGGGGGCACATGGCGGCACCAGGGCCCTATGGCCAGATTGCCGAGCTTGCGGTTCGAACTTGTGCGTAGAGCACTTGACAAAGAACCGCAAGCTCTTCAGCTGCCGTGTTTGGGGTAGGTGGAGATGAACCCCCATATTGAGATTCTCAATGCTTAACCCAGACACTCCATGTATGGCATATTTGCATGCATTGGGGTGGTTTTTGGGGTTAAAGGGGCGGCACAAATTCCATTGATTTAGTGTGTGGGTAGTCCCTAGCCTTCCTAGACCATTAACAAATGGTCGACCTTATTGTAAGTTGTGTCAAATCCTTCGTAAACCTAGGTTTGGGACCGGGATTCAAATCGATCAAGTATTGCTGGGGGATTCCGAAGGCAACTCGTTGCTGACAGTCCCTAGTTGCCTTCGGTTCGGTATGACCGGTACGACTGGATCTGTAGGGTTTGATCATGCGACCAGTTTCTTCCCCATTTCCAAACATACCCAGACACTCCATGTATGCCATATATGCCTACATTGGGGTGGTTTGGGGGGTCAATGTAGGCATATATGGCATACATGGAGTGGGTACATTGACAACTAGCCACGCTAATTGATTGAGGTACCAAGACTGGGTAATTCTTGGTGGGACCGTGGGACCACTGGCTTTGACGGATCGGCTCTCTGGCTGGAAATCCGATCCGTCAAGCCCAGTTGACATTGTATAATGTATGTTCAATTTTCAGGATCACGGTGGAACAGTGAAAAACTTGGGAGATATCTTATAAATGCTTCAGGTTAACTTTATATGCTTAAGGTTTACTGAAAGTTGACATTAAATGATTCTATACTCAGAACACCACTTTCAGGATCACGGCAAAGGCCAACGCTGCGCGCGTTGTTTTTGCCGAGCCTCCGACCCGAGTGCCTTGCGCCGAGCGTGCTGGCAACGTTATTTTCTGCATGACTCCTGCAGCTCCAGGATGGGATTTTGAGGGGCAATTGGTCCATTCCCACACAATGAATAAGACTATGACTATGCTGGTTCATGCTTGGGTGTCCCGGCTGGAGATCCGATCCGACCCGTGTAATTCTATAGGTAGTGCCAACACCCAGATTGTTGATGTCGTTGACGTCGTTTGGTTTTTTTCGCTTTATCCGCTCCGCTCCCCCTCCCCGCGATGGCCGTGCCCTTGCTGATCAATTTGAACGGGCCTTGGGACCAAAACATGGCAGGACAGGGCCTATCGGACGCCGGGCCAAACCGGATCAGCAAGAGTGGTAGGGAGTAGCAGGCAGGTCCTCCGTTGCGATGCTTGAGTTTGGTGGGTGGTTTGAGGGGGGTGAAAAACCACCTGGCCAGGAGCTCTTTGGGTCGATATGAAGTGCCTTCAACATGTGCGATGATGACAATTGCATCAGAGCCTTGCATTCATATTGCTCCAAATCCTGGCAAACGAGAGGGAACTTACAAACATGACGATGCAATAGCCACGCGGAATTAATTTGGACCGTACCTCATATGCGTCGGTAGTGGTTGCGGTCGGGCGAGACTCATCATCTTCCCACAAATGCACCGTAAGCTACGCATGCAGACACTGACTTAAGCAAGAAGTTTGCAGTGAGAAGGGTTAGGAATTTGGAAGGTTGCCGGGAAAAGAAGGAAATACGACCACAGAAAGTAGTTATTCAATGTTATTCATGGGTATGAGGCCATGCTAGATTCGAGGTAATGGACACCGGCTTGATCAACGACATGATGTGCCATTTCAGCTCCCAATCATAGTACTTTTTCAGATATTTTTCAGATGCTGTGTTCTAGTTTTTCTAGTGCCAAGTGCTGCTAGATTTGAATTCATGGTTTGTTTTGCATTTGACCTGGATAAGAGTTTTTCAGGTTTTTCACTCACGATAGCTCCAAGTGGCCCATTTGGAGATGAGCTGGAGCATGCATCTTTTAACCCATAGCAGAGATTGCAGACCTGCAATATGTAGAGGACCAGCTTCACAGACAGACGGAGCTGAATGCACAAATGGCTTCGTCCCTGGTCGGTGATCAGTGATTAGTGGATCCTCGAGACTCGATTAGTAGACTCGTATGTCATACGCTGGGGTGATTTCAGTGGTCAATGTAGGTATGTCCAAGACCAGTGAAATAATATGGCAGAATGGTTGACCTGGTTGTTCGGTAAAGACCATTACATAAATCAATGATGGTTGGAAGCACTGGATATATATATATATACCTAGAGCCTGAGTGACCTCTATTTTGGAGGATCAACTATCCAACACAAGGTCTTTTTCCTATGAAAACAGAGGTCACTCAGGCTCTAGGTATGTAATGGGCGTGCATTGAATCTACGGAGACCCTCCCAAGGATCCCTTGGTTGGTAGGGAAACAGACCAGACGAGCCTTCCCATGGGTTAGGGGATCTACCGGATTGTCCAATACACCCATCTTCCATCGGAATGTCTGGGGTTCGGAAGCTCTGTCCCAGGCTGCCCACCACGCTGAGATACGCGTCGTTCCTCAACCTTTGTAGAACAGAACACCTGCCAGGAAGGTTCTGACTTTCCATGTCAGACTGCAACATCCTATCCCCCCAGACCATCCATGTCCAACCTGAACCCGCAAACCTCGTTCTCCACCACCCCCCCCTTACCGCCTCTCTCGGTCTGGCGGCTGCCAGTCCCATGGAGTCGAGATCGGTCGCCCCGCACCTCGGTTCCACCGCCACTTCCCGGTGACGACGAAGGGGCCGGCCGGCCGCACCGGTGAATCCGAATCAACGAGGACGACGACGACGAAAAGACGAGGAATCTTTACAGGTCGATCCCTTAGGGTTTTCCCGATCTTAGGGGGGAATGTCCTAACGATCTAAGGACACCCTGGGAGTCCAGTCGACTAGAAAAAGAATGACCTGAAAGGGAACTTCCTTTACTTCAGCCAGTCAAAATATAGTCTTTGGACTTCTAGGGGACAAGTATAGGTCCTGAGTCTGGACTTCTAGGGATTTTTATCATAGGTCTTTCCCATGTCTTTCCTTATAAGGTAAATTAAGGTAAGGTCTTCCTTACCTGGGACTTCCCTTTCCTTATAAAGACTTCTTTCCATATCTTTCTATGAAAGACTTCTCCAACCAGCTTCGATTCACGTCTTCACACCTCTTTTTCGGCCCGTCGACGGTTCTTCTGAGGGGAATATGCCAGGACATGTTGGATTCAGCAACCAGACACGACCTGTCTGGGACTGGAATTTTTGGTCAATCCGTTGGGATGTTTTTTTTCTTGACCCGGGGTCATTGACTCATATGCCATACACTCTGACTCATTACGTGGAAGTGAAAAATGGAAAGAAGATGACGTCTTCCAGAAACAGCGGGGGTGCCATCCACGATGACTTTCATTGACGTAATCATGGTGTAACGGTGCGTCACGAACAGGAGTTTTATCAGTGTCCGTGGAGTGTAGGTCGACCGGTAGCTAGAGTAGCTAGAAGCTACTACTGTAGTAACAACGTGTATCGCTACGAACGTGACAAGCCCCTCGCAGGGTGGCGCAGGGCTCCGGCCGACAGTGGAGCGCAGGGACTACAGGTGCGGTGCCGGGTCTGGCCCAAACGCCCAAACGGGCGGTGAAAAGTGAGTGCGCTTTCGTTATTTCAAGTTTTAACCTTTAGTGACTTTATTGCAGCATATAGTTACGTTAGTTAGTTAGCTAGTTAGTTCGTTAGTTAGGTTTAGTTTAGTTTAGTTTAGTTAGTTAGTTAATTAAGTTTTAGTTTAGTTTAGTTTAGTTAGTTAGTTAGTTAGTTTATGTTAGTTAGTTGGTTTAGTTGTAGTTTTAGTTTAGTTTAGTTAGTTAGCTAGTTATTTAGTTTTTTATTTGTTTAGTTAGTTAGGTAGTGTTAGTTTATGTTAGTTAGTTAGTTAGTTAGTTAGTTAGTTGGTTTAGTTTTAGTTTAGTTTAGTTAGTTAGCTAGTTATTTAGTTTTTCTATTTGTTTAGTTAGTTAGGTAGTGTTAGTTTTAGTTAGTTAGTTAGTTAGTTAGTTAGTTAGTTAGTTATGTTAGTTATGTTAGTTATGTTAGTTTAGTTAGTTTTTTTTTTTCTGTTTGTCACTAGCAGATCACGTACCTACCTCTAAGAAAATAATTTCAAGAGGTTGGAGATGTCCAGAGTTCGTTCCATTCTTCATGAGGCCAGACAGTCACACACCAGGCCTTCACGGAGATCTAAACACATCGGAGATCAGCAGCCTTGGGCCACCAGCCCTATAAGAATCCAGACAAGGCCCGGCCCTCGAGATATTATTATAAAAAACATATATTACTATACCAGGACCTTCCAACAGGTCACCACCTGCGACTTGTAAGTCTACAAAAGCCTCCAGAAGAGACCTCTTGGAAGGTGCTGGTATATATATATATATATATTATATATATATCTCCTATAGGCTTCCAACCACCATACATTTAATGGTCTAATTAAGTTACACTACGAAAACAGCTCAACCATGTTTGAAAAATGTCTTGGACTTCCAGGGACTTTGGGGCCAAACCCTCCAATCTGCAGGGGCTCGGGCACGGGGGGGTGGCACCGCCCTACGGCACGCTCCGTTTTCGTGAAAACCGCCCGAAGCGTTCGCCGGATTGGTTCGGGTGCCCTATGTCCGGATTCGGAGGATTCAGACTTCGGACTGGACACCTTCCTGACCACCACCCTACAAGTCAGGAACTGACCTCATGAAATACTGCGAGATGGTCATACAAAACCAATACTATCCAGGCTCCATCGACTGACCAGCTTTGGACCTGCAAAGCGAACTGGACGTCCGGGACCCATCGTTCTCCTTTTTCCAGGCTTCCACTGCTGGTGAAGTGCCCTGCATCGGTCGTGCGCGGCGCCGCGGCCGGTTCACGGACGCTCGCGCTGCTGGAGGATCCAGACCAAGCCCCGAAGAAGCCTCGTCTAAGCCTCTGGAGGGTCCAGGGGTCGCTGCACCCGACGGCAGCATGGCCACTCCCAGACAAGGCAGCATGGCCACCCTGAAAAGGTGTTGGAGATTCCGGATCCTCTAAAGGGGTGGCACAGGCATACAATACCTCGGCGGTCGGACCGCCGAGCTTGCTTGGTCCCAGTTCGTCCATGCATCCGGGAACTCTTCAACTCTGCGCTGGGCGATCGCGATCGCATCGCTGTGCGCGGGTTTGAACGTGCAATGAACAGATCGTGTGACCAAGAACTTGGAATACTCGGACGCCGTCGCCGCAGACTGGCTCACAGGCAAAAAACCCGAGGCTGTTCGCGTCCATCGTCACTGCAGCAGGTTCGCGCATCGGACGAATCCGAGGGCCTTCACTGGCTAACCCAGTTATGTGGGGCCTTTGGTCAGACGGTTAAGACCAGACTCACTCGCTTCGATTCCCTGGCCCACCGGATTTAGCCTAAGAACCATTAAACCAAACAACCAGAAACAAACGGATGTTTCCCCAGTCCCAGCCATTTCCGTTTGTAATAAGGATTTCAATTACCCATATTGGAGCAACCGTTTGTTTCTGGTTGGGACTGGCTTTCCAGGAAGAACCATGGAAAAGGATCGTCCAAATGCCTTGGGCGAAGAAGTGGAGCTTCCGGTCGCGACGGAATGGTCGGCCAAAGGTCGGCTCGGCTTTTCGGGTCGGTCGGTGGGCATGTCGCTCTTGAGGAAGTTGGCCAAAGCTCTTGGAGATCAAAGCCAGTGGGAAGAGTCAAAGTACCATGTTGAAGGCTTTGGAAGAGAACCGTGGACTCGTGCATCCTCCCAAGTGAGCACTCTTGGGGGCCTGAGCGAGCGATATTGTTCTGGGGAAGATTCAGTCGCCATGCGCGGCGTGGCTGCCACGGTGAGCTGGAGATTCGTTGTGACCGCAGCTACATGCAGGAAAGATAGCTTGTGGCAGCCGGCGTGTGTTTCGAGCAGTTATGGAAAGGGAACACATATAACTTAAAACATATATGAACACACAACTATATACATGAATTACATGTTTAGTTATATAGTATTATATTGACCCCTGAGATCAAGCACCCCTGTTGCATGGTCAGTCTGGCTATGTCGCTTTAGACTTGGGGGGGGATGATCATCGCCCTTCCCCCTTCGGACGCTATGCCGCCCGCCAGAGGTACTACAAGCCCAAGGGCGTCATCACCAAAATGCGACACTTCAGCAAGAAGAAGGATGTCGAGGCACCAAATGCGTGATCGAGTGGTGTATTGTATACCAGGGCCCCCGGATAGGGGTGGTTAATGGACATCCCGAATCACCTCTAAGGAGCTATAATTGGACATCATTTAGGGGGCCCTGGTACACCCACACTGTTGTTCTTTGTGCACATGTGCGATTTTGAAGAACGATCTGTCTTTTTTGCGCTGGCACCAGAGTCAAAAAGCAAGATATCTTTCATTTGCAGAGAACCATATAGAGAATCCATTCGATGATTCATTTTTCACAGTTGAGAGTCGCCGTGGCCGCGTGATTGATCACATGTCCCCTTCTGTTCTTCTTTCTGCCATGTTCTGCCCAGCCATTCATTCCAATCGGATTGGGAAAATGAGTTGCACGTTTATGGTGAATTCTTTGACCAAGGCCACTGCTGTCCCACTGCACAGTTTCGTCCCGCTTCCTGTCACTGTGCATATGCCATCGTATGCCCATCCGCCAGTGACACCAAGCCCTGCTGCGGAATTCTCCCTGGCACCACACAGGATCTTCGATCAGTGGTGTCTTTTGCGGGCGATGAGCCGGGGCGCTGAGTTGGACCGTGGAACCCCCCAAGAACCTCCCAGATCACGTGGAGACGGATGACGCGTGCGGATGACGAGGTGAATCGGTGAATCACTGGGTCATCCCCATGCTTGTTTGCTTTGAATTCTTTCTGCTGGCCAGTGCATCGAGATGGCCTGACCTAACCCCGGAATAGCTGAATAGGGTGTTGGTGGGTTGATTGGATGAAGGGGACAGCATAGGTCCAAGTGAAGAAGCAGTCCCAGACACTCCATGGGGCTGGTATATGCAATTATATGCCTATATACATTGACCCCTGAATTCAACCACCCCAATGTATGTAAATATGCCAGTCCCATTAGATGTGTTTGGGAATAGGTCGATGAAAACCCGACATCATGTCGACAGTGGACCACGTAGAAAATTGTTTCTCCCATTCAATCCTGCGCAGGATGGTCACCCCTTTGCACGAGCATCGAATGTTTGGGTCGTCTCCACCAGGACCGCATCGTCTCGAATGCCAAGTCGTTGATCTCGAAAAGTCTGATGTCCTCATGAATCCCTGCATGGGGCCAGGACAGAGCAAGGACATAACAGTACGTTGGTACCAGGGCGATGATTTTGAGCAAAAGACCAGGGCCATGACCGACCGACCGTGGAAACTCTCATCGACCGACCTGGTCCCAACAGGTGACTCACCTGGTGACGCGGTGGAGCTGGACGCAGGACCACACCACTCCCGCCACTCCCAGGTTCGAGCTGGACCTCTATCATCCGGTGGGCCAACTCGCTTCCAGCAGCAGTGGACTGTTGTTGTGGAGCCGGAGGCGGAGCCGAAAACCCGGCCGCGCCTGCGCCGAGAAGCGAAGCGTAGCGAAGCATAGCGAAGCGTAGAGAGGTTGAACGACATCGGGGTCCTTGTATGTCCTTGTTACTAGTAGCTTCTAGCTACTAGTAGTAATGCCCTTAGTAGCGATACCCCCCAAAGACTATTCGTGGCATGGTTTCCAATAAACTTGTTTGTGGGAGTTACTTGGCTATCTAATTTGGGGACCACTATAGCCCCTATATATATCGCCTATCCCATATGTACCACTACATCACTACAGGGTCTCAGTTCAGGTCCCTCAACCTCTTTTGGAAGGACTGCAAGCTACTGGAGGTCATGAGGTTGAATTATCTTGACACTAGTAGCTTCTTGTCACTTGTAGTATAGAATGGCCTCCAACCTACCAGCGATGGCCTCCAACCTAATAGTTTCTTGTTCGTAGTAATGCCAGGAGCTACTAGTAGCTTCTTGTTACTAGTAGTAAGATGCCTTGGAAGGACAGGAATCTACTGGAGGTCATGAGAGCTCTTTTTTTTTCCTCTGAGAAATCGACATGGCAGATCGAATTCCATCGAGAGTTCTGGTTCTGGCAGGGTGTGTGGGAGTTCGAGTTCTGGCACAATAAGCCATTGATTCCCAATTGTGCCAATGGCTTCTTTTCTCCGAAATCGTTGGTCAATGTCCAAGTTGGGATCTACTGGGCCGGGCGCATAGGATGAGGCATGGGTGGAGGATCGTTTCATCTTCACGAAACAATCGTGGCGTTCTTCAATCAAGGTCTAGGAGTCTAGCATAGTTACAGACGATTCTGGAAAAAAGCAAAAACGATTTCCTAGAACCTATCCTTGAAGGAACAATCGAGAGTTGGGAGTTGGCTTGGCAAAAGGAGTGTTGATTTGCTTTTGCAACCCTTTGCTTAAATTATGTTGCTTCGACAGGCACACCATGAAAAACCATGAACAACTGGGAGAAGCTATTACCAGGTCTCTGAGAAACCAGTATCAAACTTAGTGCAACGATGTTTCAAACTTATGAGAACCTTTGTGGTTGAGGGATTTGGGTATATCGTTTAGTTGTTTTTTTCTTACGGTTCCAGGAAAGCTCTGGTATACCTTCTTTTGGATTTTGTGATTGAGTTTCTTAGATCTGTGTCTTTCAGGGAATACCCCAAACCAACACGAAGAATACCACCCCAACTGATGTATACCTTATGTAACTATCGCTGGCATACCGACGAATGCTCGGTTTTTTGGGTCGCTGAGCTGACCTTCGAAGCTCCGAGTTGCCACTCGGTCGACTCGGTCCGGTTACGGCGTCTGCTTTGGGAAAGAGACACGGCGGCGGTCCACCGGGTGGCATAACGGTGGCATTGAAGGACGTATTCAATTGAACTGGCCTCACCAGCGTCTGGTCATTACACAGGATCCAATTTGGAGACTGATCTGTGTTTATGACACTTTATGACTGTGGCCGATCGAATAGCTTGCGACTGCTTCTTCGGCTCTGCGAAAAGGGCATGTTCTGTTTTCGTGGGTTACTTTTGTCCCGAGCTTTGGTGTGGGATGCTGAGATCTCGACATGCGAATCACAGGAGATGCGAAGTGTTTATGACTTTGTGTTCCTTCGAAGGAGTTCTTGGTGCCCCATGGAATGATGGTGAAAGCACAGCCCAGAGATTCCTTGCCCGGCGGCTTTACCAAGCAACCATTGTTTTCTTGAGCAGACTTCACCCTACAAAACCAGGCTAACCATTCTCCCCCATAGGCCTAAGCCCCTGTAGGGTTCCAACCACATCCCTCTCAGAAGGTATAGTTAGATGAAACGATATATCCACCCCAACCACCCACCCAACCATCTCAGGAGGCCCTCCGGTCCCGTCAGTCCCTCGGCCCGCCGCAGTGGCCGGGTGACGAAGCAACTCCAAGACCTGCGACGAGGCGCCCCGAGCATCCGAGACGGGCCGGGGTTGACACGTCGACCTGACCTAGGACCCGTCACCTGGCGTACCCAACTGGGATAGTCGAAGAGTCGGGTTCTTCAACATTGGTTGGGTTTTCCCTGAGCTGATCCCAGATACGACAGATGGGATGTGGAATGCGCCTACATGAACCCCTGAATGTATCCTAGCTGATCGATAAGTAGGTCATGCGTGGAGTTTTTGGAGATGTAATGTAAACGATATTATCTAAAGTTTGAATGGTTTCAACCCAGACGCTCATTGGACCCTCAGTTCGCTAGGGTTTTGACCCTCACAAGTAGGGTTTTGGACCTCAAACATGTAGCAGTTGGTTCGGGTCCAGGGTCGCGTCTGAGAATGGATTTTAGTGTGGAAGTCGTGGCGATGTCGCGTTTGTAGCTGTTTGGACATGTTCTATGGATTGGTACCAATCAAGGCATCCAGCCGGTGATGGGGGGATCACAAGACCACAGACACCCGCCCAAAACACCATCAAAACGGAGGTCATGTAGACTCTTAATAAATAAACTTGAAGAGGTTTTGCCATCCATGTCTGAGATTTGATTCATCCAGAATCTTCAGGGCTTCCTCGGGAATCCACCTCCAAGAGTCAGCACATGTCGGGGTGTTCTTTTTATGTTCACTCCGATTCACTCCCATCAAATGTTCGTGGATGTGACCAGGGACATCCAGGGACACCCCGACGTTTCAAACCATGCATGGCACCCGTGCCACGCGCCACGCTCCCACCCAACTGGACAGGAGTGGTGCGAGTGCTGGAAGTCGAGGTTTGGGGCACCGTGCAGTCTCAAGAGCTCCACGAGGTGCACCGCGCTTCCTTCGCCACGCCCGGTGGAAGTTGTCGTGCGGACTTGTTCGTTCGGGACAGACAGGGCGCGCTGGAGGCGGGTGGAGGCGGCGTGGTTTGGGAGCCGCTTTTGAGATTTGGGCGGTGTTGGGAGCAGTGTTGGGGGAAGTAGGGTAGTCGAATGGGATGAGGTAAGAGAGGGTCGAATTCTGTCGGACGGTGCACCCATGAAATGATGCTGTGCATGTCGGATGTGGCATGCTGCAGGTCGGGATCGTTGGAGCTCCGACACCTTTCGGGCGACCCGACACGAATCACGAAGAATCCGGATCACGAAGAAACACAGGGAACCGGAGTACCCGTTTCGTCGGAGCATCGCCACTGCCATGGAGGACACGTTCGGACTCTGGATGTTTGTAAGGCTTTGAACATCGTCTTTAGCATTTGAGCCAGGAGTTCCGAGTGGGTCTCGATGTGGAAACCTTGCTCTTGAAGATGTACACTCCCGGAAAATAGTTCGAAGTGAAAGACCTAAGACCTGGCCATAGGTCTTCAACTTCAACTGAACAGTGAGATATTTCACTGAAATATACTTCCTGAAGGACTGAAAAGACCTAACACATTGACATCATGAATCATGAAATATGTTGAGTCTAAACCGGTGAAGTGCTATCTCTAAAAACTCTGTGTGTTTGTTTTGTTTGGTTACCTGCTATCGCCGGAGGACGTGCCCAATTGATGACTTATATGCAGACACTCCGAACATGTCTGACAACTGAAAGTGATAGAAGAACTGATATGGATGGCCTAATTACAGCCTAAGTGAAAGCAGAAACAGTTGATGGATGCATTGATGAACCTAATTTACAGCCTGAAATCATCATGGACGTGGATGGCACCACTTGGTATTCGGAGCATGGGCATCCCATGTGTTTTTTTCTTTTTTTATACTCTCCCTGGAACTCACATGGAACTGGACAACCACCTGTTTGGTCTGTGGATTTCTGGGTCTTCCGAACTCGGGGCCATGGCATCCACGTCACCATGTGTATTTCAAGGGAGTGTGGCTCCTTGGAACCTCTTGGAACGGTTTCCCACGTCTTTCGCTGTGGAGAAACCATCCGATCCTTTCCGCCTCTTCGCGCGCTGGAAGCGGCGGCGCTTGATCGGACCTGTGGACGGTTTCTGAGATCCGATCTCACCAAGGGATTGGAGAGTGGATGGATTGGATATACAATACCCAGACACGACGATCCATGGAACTGCCATAGGACTGCCGCCCCTTTTTCACCCCCTGGCACCACCCCTGGCCGTTTCTCGGCAGTCCTATGGCCTATGGCAGTCCCATTAGTCGTGTCTGGGATATGTTTTACAAAACAGCATGGTCCTATAGTGGTATCAAGTTTTGGTAGTTTCAGACATGAGTGTTTTCTCAGCTTTGTGCAACACATTTCTTCTATGACATAATTAGAAACATTATATGGGTGAGACCCCCAACCAATGGGTAGACTGGTCTATTTTCCTTCTTCCAGAGGGTCTTTGGGAGGTCTGCAGATTTTAATACAGACCCATCATTTGTTTACTGTAAATACTATATAGTGTCTCCTTGAATTACCTTTTGGTCTAGATGTCTTTAGTCTACATGATCTACATCTCGCCGCTTGGGTGTTCCGCTGCTGCTTGCTTCACACGTTGATGAGTCACTCAACCCCCGGTCCAATGAAGAGTCCCGTAGCGATCTCCAAGCTGTGAGGATTCCTCCATGCATCATGCGCCAGGGTTGGATGGATTCTCCAGGTGGTCCATCGAACATCAAATTGATTTATGGCTCATCCACTCTCCTCAGCATCCCGGAGTGCGGTGGAGATCCAACCAGAAAAGCTCGGATCCAGTTACAAATATAGCTGGTCACCAGTGGTTCCAAAGACTATATATTATAAAACCATACAGCTAGAGACTCTGGTTCCTTACACAGTGGCTGCCTGAAATGCACTGGGTTCAGCTTGTCATGTGCGTCTCCAACCTATCCAGTGGATATCCTGCAACTGTTTTTTGAATTGGTTTCCCCACTAAATAGCTAGCCAGTTCGGTTTTTCGCTTTATTTTCCAGGGATGGACACCCCGCTCGGAAGTCATGCTCCAACGCATGCGATGCGATCCCTTCAGAAGGCCCGACGATCTTCGCATGAGTGGAGGCCCTCTCGAGTGGAGTTCCGCTGGGCGTGTCTGGCTTCAACAGGCGGGGTCAGCGTGTTCAGCTTGTCCGTGACCTGGACCCGACCGACCCGTCGCATGAGCCGCAAAGAGCCGACAAGACGTCGTACCCCGTAGCTGGTACGAACGATGGTACGAGACTAGCCAGACTTCCCAGGTATGAACTTGGAGTCCAGGTGATGTTTTATTGAACTAAGGTTTGACCAGGTGATCCGAGTCTTGAAAAAAGACGCGTGACCGGTGTTGCGTCTCGGCAAACGTCCGAAGCGACTTCCATCGATGGAGTGTTTGGGGTGGGGGGTTCTGAAGCAATACAACTTCGCGGGACGTGGTGCCCCGCTTTTTCCGGTCCTTTCCGTCCGGTCCAGCGCGGCGACCCGCTCCGCCGCCGCGCCACATGGCACAGTTGACGGGTGAAGAGCGCGACGTGACTCGTGACACGCAGGGGTTTCACCGACGAAACCAAGCGAGTGGACCGCCGGCCGATCGGACCGGATCGGGATGATCCGGATGAACCATGCAGATTTCTGCAGCTGGATCAGCTGCAAACAGGTGGACAGTGAAGGTGAACCCCTACAGTTTCCCAAAAAAGGCTAACTACTTGACAGTAGAGGACAACCTGGTGGTGCAGGAAGATGAGAAGGTGCCACCAGTAGCTAATCACATCGCAAATGTGTCAATCGGCCTTCAATGCATCTCAATGCCCTCATTTCTTTTGCGGAGCGCCAAAAGAGGAACCACTATCAGCTTCCTTCGACTACTATTGGATAATATTGGTGCTTTACAACTGCCAAACACCACGTGTACACACACTGTAGGGATGACGTTGTGAATACCAAAAGAGAGAAAGATCACCCGCTTTGGTCCATTTTCATGACTCCTTTCAGTGTCCAAACTTCAAAGCAACGAAGCTCGGTGTCCAGGTCCCCTGGCCTTCAGTTTGACCATTCAAAAACATGGGAACGACCTGGTTTTGTTGTCTAAAGTCCCTAGTAAAACAATTGAGCACTGGCTCTCATCAATGAACAATGGCTGTTGGAATTTTAGAAGATCCCTGTGGCCAGTGATTCCATTGGACATCGCCGAGTCCGTGGCCTGTGTCTAGCCTGTGTCGTCTCCAGCTGTGGGAGAGAAGAACACCAAGGGGTTTGGTTTTCGGACTCCGGAATCAGAATCGACCTTGCTTGCCATTGGGCTGGGTATGGGGGTCTAGCTAACTTCGGAGGTGGTTGGAGCCCTCATATAAATGAATGTTCTTCCCTATAGATTGGAGAAACACAGTGAACTTGAATTGATGGCCGACAAGACTTCTTCGAGTTTGTTTCCGATGGAGTCTCGCATACATGTCTCACTTACACTCCAACAGCACTATAACACCAATTAACATAGAAGTGAATGGCCCCAAACGGACTACCATTTTCCCCTCCGAGGGTGGTCAAAACGTCCAATGTGACTCGAGCACGCCCCGTCCCTCGTTTCTTCCAACGGGAGCCGTCGCGGGGTGTCGCGGCCCTCGCAGGACGTACTCAGCAAACGTGGTGCAGGAGGCCGTCCGTCGGGGCGTTGGATTCGGATGGGAGGTTGGAGAGTTCCAGGGACTATCCTGGAGCATCAAGTTGTCAAGCAAGAAAAAAAGCACACATTTGTTTGGAAAGTTTCTGGAAGGCAAACATGTTTTGTTCGGCAATTGTCCTGCTCTCCAGCCAATTTGAGGTGAATGTCGAAGGCTTTTTTGGCGAGAATTGAGGAGAATGGGACAAAACAAAGGCTCCATATTTTCATGTTCTTTGGGGACTTGCTGAAACTTTTGGTATCAGAAGTTGTTTCACATGCATGAACAACTGTCTTCTTCTGGCTGTTGAGTCGAGTCTTCATGCTGTTCATCCAGGCCTGCCTGGTGCCAGAGTCCCCACTACAAGAACTGCGAAGCCGTGTGCTGGTGTCCTGTTCCAATGGCAGGACTGCTGGGCCGGTCCAGGTCTGACCCAGTTCGAAGCTGCAAGAGAAGTATCTCAGCTGGGTCGCTTTATATAAGAGAAGCCGTACGGGAGGTTTGACCCAGACACGTCCATGGGACTGGCATAACATGGCATATTTGCGGATTGTTGGTGGTTGAAAAGGCTCTCGCTTGTGCATGAGCAAGTGGCTCACTTGCACATCGCAGGGTTCACGTATGCATCACCTGAATCGGCATTCGGTTCACTTGCACACTTTGCACATGGGGTAATGACATGCACTTCCACCAACATTCATATCAAACATTCCAATGTATTCCAATGTTGAACTGGTGTGGGGAGAGACCAAATGCTGTTCACTTCGACTAACATATCCCCACATTCCAGTCGTTCACTTCGACCAAGATTCATTCTGCTATTTTTTTTCAGTGGTTTAGCGTTGGGTATTCAACTACAGGCACATGGCTGTGGATCAAACCTGGAGCCCCAAATGGTGGGTTGACATCCCGGACATAGAGGAATTGGTTCAGTTGATCTGCGGTCAACCAGGGTTATGGGGTCTTGACCCACCACCACATGAATGGACCAAATGAGCTAGATTGGTCCAGGAAGTCTGCCCGGCGTTCCATGTTGCATCATGTTGCTAATCTGCTAAGGGGTTGAATCGCGATGACTGTCGCGACCATCTTTGGCACACAGTTTTGCGGTGGAGAAGCGTGTCATGGATCTCTCTTCAGGTACAATTACAAGCAAGTTGTTCAAACAGCTGCTGGAGAAAGAGGATTTGTTGCACCGGCTGCAACAGAACGTCCTTTCGTTCTTTTCGGGTGAGATCATGCCACACACGTACGCGAGAAAAACACACACCACAGAATCGATCTTTTTTCACGCTGAAAAAAGCGAAGTCTGTTGAACAATGATGAACAAGGGATAAAAAGGGTATACATTTACATGGAGTGTTTGGATGAGGAACCAACCTTATCTCTCTCCATTGTTCGACACATTGATGATTGTTTCGGAAGCATCCAACATCAGGGCATGCCGCAGAGATCGGATTGCCCAAACCGGCTTCGCTTGTCCAGGGCCAATATTCCAGCCATGATTGAGAAATGTGGCTACAAAGTGGCCGCATGGCTTGGGCCGGGAGATGGGGAAGGGGGGCAGGTGGCTTGACAGACTGGTGACCATCGGACCAGTGTCCGAACATGATCCCCCAACTTCCAGCAAGTAGTATTCAGAAGACCTAGAATGGACATGTAGGGGAAAATTGGGTTTATGCCTTGAGCCATATGATTAAATATGTTTGAATATATTAATGCTGCTTTAAACATCATGTTATCATATGTGATACATATATATATATACAGATATATACAGTTAATTATACAGAGAGAGGAAGAGAAAGAGATACCCTCTCCTTCAAATATCATTAACAAATTGTTGTAGTCTAAAACTGTTAGTAAAACAATGGTTGTTTGTGATTCAAACTAAGTCAATGGCAGCCAGTAATCCCAAAGTGTATGTATACATATATATCATATATATAGCTTTATATACATCGCAAAAGCAAAGCTCTTCTATTTACACGTTTTGTTTATCTTCTATGGTGCACCACACTCTGTGGATATATATATATATATATTATATTATATATATATGGGCCGCTGGTGGCTTGAGTGAGATCTGTGATACCACAACCAGACCCGTCCAAGGACATTGTTTGACTTATTTTTGTTTATAGGGTCTGATGTTCCGTTATTTTGACAGTTTTCTCAAAGCAACGACAATAGCATCCGGTTGTTTGGCTCAAAGTGTGCTGCGTTTGTGGTGCCCGCGCGCAGGCCAGTTAGGGAATTCTACGTTCTAAGTCTATTTCTGTCAGTTTTGCAAATGATCAAGGACAAACGGAAGGGTAGTGTACAGAAAGGGTTTTGCCAAAACCTTCCTGCTAACTTCGTAGTAGGCCCGAGATATTCGTGGAACCTAGCCCCATTCGCGGACCATTCGTGGAATGGTGGACCCTTGGGAAAACAAACTGCACGAAAAGTCAGAAAGCTTCGCAGAGCTTCGTGGAAGGTATTTTTGATGTACTAACTTCGTAGAAGCACGTCCCTTTCCGTACACACCCTCCATTTTGCCTTGTCAAGGCGTTTGACACACATTATTTGCTCAATTGCACACAAGTGGCTTGTTTCTGGCTTCAGGTCTTTCCTTTTCCAAAAGGTAACCTGGTATGGTAGTTCTTACCAGATAATTGCCCAAGAAATCACAGGTCTTATGGCCACTCCACAAAAACGCCTGCATTGGTCGTTCCGATCTGTTCTGAGCCTCTTTTGGTATCACCAAGGCCGCTGTCAAGCAAGTGCAGGCAAGGCCGGGTCAGAGGCCCTGGTGGACATTGTGCAAGTCGCCCCTTACACCAAAAGAGCTCTCAGTTGACCAGCACAACTGAGATGTGTTGATGAGGCAAGACCTGAGGCAGGGATTGGCAGTCCTGACGCCAAAACAGCCAGGGGTGTTTGGTTCATTTCAGGGGCGACATATACCCACCTCACAACTCTCGGCTCAAATCCGCAAGACTGCTTAGGGCCAATCCGTATATTGATGGTACTGGAATAGTTGCTTACATATACGTATGATAAATGTATGTATGCAATTGGGGTTGTCCCATCACTTGTAACAGTCGGTAAACAATTTTCGTGCAACTGAACCATCATCCACTAGGCCCAGGGTGTCTGGGATATACCCAATGTATGTATCCCAAAGGCTCATTGGACCCTCAGTTCGCTAGGATTTTGACCCTCACAACTAGGGTGACATGGACCTCAAACATGTAGCAGTTGGTTCGGGTCCAGGGTCGCGTCTGGGATATAACTATTCCAGTTTTATGGATGGTCTTAGATGCAGACCAGTGGCAGACCAGTCTGACCCCAGTCATGCAGGGATGAGAAACACCTTTGTTTCACGCCGACCAGGGGGACCCGCGCGCAGGTGGGAGGCTTCTCTTTGGGGCAGATGCAAGAAGGTCAGTTGCAAGCAGCCACCCCTGAAGAGGAGGCTCACCGACTTCCAAAATCGATGCTTTCCAGTGACGTGGGGATTGATGGAAGATTGATGAAGAGCAAGTCCAGGAGTCTTTTTGTTGCCTCTGTGCTGAACGCATCAAGTTGTTTTTTGTTCAATGTCATGTCTGAATTCGTCCGAGAGATGTTCGTTTCGCTTGCAGGCTTGGGCATGTCAACTTGCAGGCCGAGTGTCACGATCACTGCTGTGGAGTCAGGAAGACCAGGAAGAGAATAACGATTCTACATGATTCTACTAGGGTGTGTATTTCAAGAGGGAGACACCCAATCAATGGGGAGAGTGGTCTATTTTACCTTCTCCCAGGGGTCTTTGGTCTCCCAAATCTAATGCACACCCACCAAGACTAAGAGTGTTAAACTACAAAACCAGGTCAGCTGACCTCGTTTTTAATGGTTGAACGGAATGCCAGGACCCAGGAATACAACACATAGCCTTTGAATCAAAAACCCAACCTCGGTTGACCACAGTCACATGATCGAAGATCGAAGAGAATAGAGAAGTTTATGTCTCCCCACTTCAGCTCTTGGCCCGCAGTCAGATGGGGAAGTGTTGGGTTGTCTCTCCATCCAACGAAAGTCCGTCATTTGGACTGCTTGGGGCCATCAAGAACCTCTTCAAAAAGGTGCAGATCCGTTCATATGGACTCCCTCGTAAATCTACCTGCGATATCCATGGTCCAGATATGTTTGAATACTGGGTGGTGATTTCAGATATGTTTGAAGGTCGGGATGATTTGAAGCCACTGATTCTATATATTTCTGAAGTGAGTTGAAACCACCAACCAGCTGAGCCGCTCTAAAAACCTGCCTTTACATCTTAAGTAAGGACCTTGTCATATCGAATTCCGCGTAAGCAAAACCCTGGGTTGCGTAAGACTGCGTAAGCATTTCGCGTAAGCATTTCGGAAGTTTGCTCTGCGTAAGCAAAAGTGAGGGCCGCGTAAGCAGCGCGTAAGGCCTCGCGCAAGGAAAGTGATACGACATAGGGAGTGACTGCAGGTTTTTAGAGTGGCTCAGCTGGTCATTGGAAGGCTCCGGCCCAATTCATCTCTTTCATCCAGAAAGCACCGCTCGCCTGGGAGGCTTCGCTCGATTTTTGGTGGGTTTTCGCCTCCCAATCCTCCCAGGTGTGAGACAGTCTGAACCCCCGGACAGTTCGCTGGGCGGGCCATAGAGTCATTCGAGTTCACCGGGTTTTGTGGTCATCTTCATCCTTACCGACCTCACAGGTGTTGGAACCCCACCATACGTAGCCTAGCCCACCATACGTAGCCTAGCCCAGCTGCATGCGCAAAGCTGCATGCGCGATTTGCGGCGCAAAGCTCCAGGCCTTCCTGTTTCAGAGTATCCTGAAGGCTTTCTACCTGAAGGATCTCAGGCGGACCTGACTTCCTCGTAGCAGACAAATCCACAGAAACCTGGGTCTTTGGGACTGGCATATTTACATCCCTATGAATCCAAAGACACGCCGCTCATTTGCAGATTCCGCACAAAAAAAGAAACACGTGCTATTTGCCGAGTATGTGAATAGTACATGATTGGATTGTCAGGGCATAGCTTAGGGCGGTTGAGAAATCAAGCGGTCGATCGGCCCCGTCTCCCACTGTCGTGGTTGGCTTTCGCGTCGGTCACGTCGTGGCTACACGTCGTCGCCTTGGATGGTCGACGGCACTTGAACCCTTGGCCCAGACACGACTAATGGGACTGCCGTAGGACTGCCGAGAAACGGCCAGGGGCGGTGCCATGGGGGGTCAATGTAGGTAAATATGGCCGTCCCATGGAGTGTTTGGGTTGGATTTGGCTGCAACGTTGGAGATCTCATCAAGATATCGCAATTCTGCGGAGTCGTCTCGAGACATTGGCAAGCAGGTGAACGCAGGAGGATTGCACTCAATCAGTCATTGTTTTGTTCATCATTGACTCAGCTTACTTCAGCGCCCTGGTCCTATCTTATTCCTGATAGGTGTCCTCCTTCACACCCAAGATGAAATGAGGCTGCAGTGTTCATTAAGGCCGGGCACCCTCTCCTTTCCATCCCTCCATACCTGCATTTCGGACTTTCTATGATTTTCTATGCACTTGTTGATTGTCATTGATTTTCGGGCTGCTGGGGATGTGGGTTTTCTATGGTTTTCTAGTCAGAAAGACTTCAGAAAGCAATCCAAAAAGGATTCGACGAACGCATTCGACGTCCATCCCGTCCAAAGCGGGGAGACCCACTGAGCCGCAGCGAGCTGACCTCAGTTGGACCTGGTCAGTTGGGTCATATGTACAGTCGAGTCGTGCCTGTACATATGACCCAACTGACCAGGTCCAAATGCAGATGTGGTTTTCAAGAGCAGGTTTGGACCTGGGTCAGACTGGCCCTATCATTGATGGGTTCTTCTCCCAAGGGAACTGCAAACTGATAGGGCAGAACACCTGTGATTACCACTCTGCCCGGTCACCAGGTGGAGGCCGCGACAGATGCGCGCAGAGGTCGACGTTCAAAGCCAAAGCGATAAAATGCTGCGGCGGTGACTGCGGGTTGTGAGGAGCTTTTCGCGTTGAAAGATGACCCAAACCGAAACCCCATGAACCCCCCCAGGCCTATGAAATCTCGATCTATGGAAGAATTCCAGAATCTACATCCATCCCAGAATTGAATTCAGGGAAAATCAACAGGAAAACCATAATTTGCGGGGTGAAAAGAAGGGTTTCTTGCAGATCTTCCCTTATAAATAAACCGTAATAAACAATTACTAAATTTCAACCACCGAATTAAGGATGTTGGACTACACTGTCATGGTCGCACGGTCGGAAGGCCGAGAAATGCAGCATTCACCTACCCAAGAAGTATATGGGATCACCGGTCACCTGTTTTTGGGGATCACCGGGATCACCTGTGTTTGGGGGGAATTGGGGGACACCGCATCTTTCACAAGAACAGGGTGGAGTTCGTTCGTTCATCCGGTGGGGCACCGATGGATGTCCGAAGGGCACCGCGAAGCGCGAGCGCGAGGTTCCGGACCGATGTGGAGGGTTGGTGCGTCCAAAATCCACCACTAACAGCACCGAAACAAGAGGGTTTTGTTTTTTTGGGGGGGGGAGGTTGGTCTTTTGCATGTCCAAAACCATAATGAGTTAAGGTCAAAATTATGTTGAAACGTTTTGGAACTCACCTAAGACTTTATCATCTTCCGTTGAAAAAGATGCACCCTGATTGAGTCGTTGGGACCGACCTCGGCGAGCCAGGGGACGAAGGAAACGCCCGGTACAGGTGGACCCGAAGCAAACCCTTTCTAGTTGAGGGACTTTGGTCAAAAGCCCTAAAATACTGTGCAGAGCGCCATGTGGCTGGTAAACATTCGCCCTGTCACAGTGAGGCTTGTGTGAAGGTGTTTAAGTGGTATCTTTTGGTGTATACTGTGTATACTGGACAAAAAAGAAATTTTGCCCAGTCAATTCTCCGGTTGCACGGGATCGTTTGCTGGAGGGCAGATGCTGCGTCGTCTCGCAGTGTTTCTGCTCTCGGCTAACAAGTGGACGTACCGATGCATGTGGAACAAGCGGTGCAAAGGTGTAAAGCAGTGCAAAATCGCAGAGAGATAGACTTTCCAAGCAGTTCACTTGCTGTCTCTCTATTTGTTCACTTCAGGTGCCGGAACACTGGCGCCACCATAAGCTCGTTGTGACCATGTCAGATGGGGCGCATAAGATCTTTGTGGGCGGGCTCCCCCAGGTGGCGGCGCGCGGGTAGCGAGGGGTGTGACGCAGGAGACCTACCCAGTCAGTGGATGACCTTTAACCGTTTTTTGGAAATTGAGGGACTCAGTTGTGGTAGGTGCTTGACTTGTTCTTTATTTTGGGAAGACACATTATTGATATGTTTGTGTAAAGATGCGCCAAGTGCCTTTCGGGAGCCTAAAACGGAAACGATTGGGGACTAATAAATTTATGCGCAACTTTCGAGGTTTTGGGGCTCCGAATTGGTCAGGGGTTGGATTGTTTTGAAGGCGGCAGCTGCTCCCTGCTTTTGAGTGGACGGGTTTGTTTGGCTGTCCTTGCTAAATCGAGTACATATGTTGTTGCAGGATAACTTGTCCGTCAATAAGAAACAGAAGAAGCGGTTCTATTTTCCAGTTGAAGCTAAGAAGACAAACAGAGAGGTGTTTCTAAGTGTCCTGGGTCCGTCCGGTGCCTAAGACGAGTCATGGGTTTTGCTTCACCACAACCCCAGACACCCATTCTGTTTGGAGGGGTCTCGATGGTCGTCATCGTCGATGGTCTCGATGGCCAGGATTGCCCACAGGAGATGCTTTCCGATTACTTCGGCAAATTTGGCAGCTTGCGACAAGGGCCTCCGGGTAAGGTGGACACCTTTTGGTCAAGGTGTACACCGTGTACATCCTGATAGGCGAACTCTTGACCCACTCCCTGCGATTCATGAACCCACACCCCGCGTACTGTTAGGTTGAACCCGTCAAAAGACCGAATTCTTCGAGATTCTTGTGTGTTTCAATCCAGAAAAGACAATGATGTCGGCGAAATCAGCTGGGCGTTTTGATAGATCCACTGACCCTATAGTATAGTTCGACCATGAAATGAATCGTTGACCTGTTTTTGTAGTCCAAAATCCTGAATTAACATGAATTAACCATGGTTCCCATTCCAGGAGCGGCTGGAACACCACGTGGAATTCAAATTATTTATTCCTTGTTCACATTTGGTTCACCTCCTTTGACAGGGCCTCCGCCACAAGGACACAGGGTGTTTCGAAAGAACACCTAGACCAATACTAGACTTTGCACCAGTGTCAGAGCTCCTTGCTCCAATTCAAACCCCTTCAAACCCTTCTTCAAAACGGGAGCTACTCGCTCAGTCACCTTGGAGTTCCTGCTTCTCACCAGTTCCTACTCGCCTCGAGCGACTGCATCGAACACCACATCGTGCAGTGCGGTGGGGAAATCGCCGGCGATGCCGCTCTCTCGGAGGTCGACGGCTCGACCGGTCGCTTCGGCGCGGTCGTTGAGGTAATATCACTGACGTGGTGGTGATGACCGACCGCATGACAGGCCGATGCCGAGGCTTTGGCTTCGTGACCTTCGACGCTAGCCTAAAAGATAGACCGAGCTGGGTCGTAGCACCGAAGCGAAGAGCCTTTTGACACCGGGGCAGGGGTGGTTTCTGGCGTCAATGTACGGTATACTGTACATGCAGGGTGTGGGATGTGGAGGAAGCCAGTGTGGATGGAGGCCATGGTAGAAGGTGTAGGGGGGTCAAGTCACGCTGGCGCAAGGGCAAAAAGCCATTCTTCGGTTTCAGGCGATGGACCTGACTTCAAAAAGCGAACATGCGATGATGGACCCATCGGATCAGCTCGCTAAATCCGTTGGCGACGATCTATTTGCAAGACACCAAGCAAAACGCAAAAAGTCAAAAAGTTGGAAAAGGTAAAGGAAACGAAAGCACGCAGCGAGACTTTTCGACTGTTCGAGACTTTCTGACTTTTTGAGACTTTTCGACTTTTCGAGATTCTTGGACACCAGTCACATGCCGTGCCCTTCAACAAAAGTCTAGCAGAATTGATCCAAACGTTGCTTTTGCTCTTACAGACAGAGAGAGGATCTGGAGGTCAAAACACGCAGCCCCGATGACCTTCAAAAAGAGACGCCCGCCAAAAGGACCCGACGAGCCCCGGGACCTTTTGGCGGGAGACTCTTTTTATCATCGTTCCCTTTTCGTGCACTTCTCGACTTTTCGCAACGTGTCGACTTTTCGACTTTTCGCGACTTTTCCACTTTTCGCGAAAAGTTTAGAGAGCAACTAGATCCAGCTCACACAGAAAAGCAACCAGAGCCCATCCTGACCCTGTAAAGAAATGAGATAGGAGATGATGCACAATTTCTGTGGTATGTCGACTCCCGGTAGACGACTTGTCCTGTAATTGGGCCTGAAATGCGTTCCACACTCTCTATATTTTAGCTGCTGCTTCATTCTATCTCACTTTAGAGGTCCTACTCGTCATCCTAAAGTGTGAGCCGCGCTGTTTCCTCAGAGTCTCTATCAGGACATCCTCGCGACTTCAACGGGCCGCAGTCTTTAGCCGTCAGACAGAACATGTTTTTAAAAGCCGCACCCGACTCGGAAAAGCTTCTACAATGTTCTACAGGTCTTCAGAATGGTGGCTTTTCAATGGAGACTTCTCCAAGTGGGAGGTGACTACTGACCGGTTTGACCTGCCCACCAAGGACACTGCAGACGCAGTAGAGGCGGTGATGGCTTCTTGGAAGAATATGAATCTGCAAGAAACACGAACCATCAATGGCATTGAATTGACCAGCAAGGAATAGCCAAGACATACATGCTGTTGACGCGTATAGCAAACATTGGACGTTTACCAAGCTACCCATGGACCTTCCTCTCTGAGGAGTGCACATGTTAGTCAGGACAGCATAGATATGATACGAACGGACCCCGTATGGATTCATTGTGTTGTTCGTTGGGTCCTCTTGTGGTATGATACAGACATGCAAAAAGGAAGCCGCGGGTTTGGATTTGGTGTCAGACGTCACGTCAGGAAATGTTAGATGTTCTTTTCCGAACGCGAAGGTATGGCAGATAGCCTGTGTTCAGCTCCCAAATGATTCGGATTGGCGTCTGAGTTTGGTATGGCTATTTTCGCAGGTCTGACCACATGCTGGTGTCATCTATTATCCCTACCGGTCCAAAGACCTAGTAAAACCTTGGGACCTTTATTTCCTTTAGTGGTGTTTGCCCCTGTCGTTTCCTGTGACTGACAGGGGCAGCACGGAGAGCACCAGATCCTTGGGAAGTGGGTGGACTGTAAGAGAGCTACGCGTGAAGGCAGCAAAGGCGAGGCACCGAAGAGCTGTGGCGCCGACTTCTTTAGTGAGCCAGATCCTTAAAACTATGAAATGGCTGGGACTGGGGAGTTCCATCTAGAACTGTTTCTGGTTGACACCCTTAGAGGCTTAATTATATAAGTGATCTTAAGTGGCCTCAATCTCGTATCTGAAGGGTTACTTTGAAAAACCACAAACATGTTCACCGAAGAGTTGTTGGTGTGAAACATCGTCATATAAACTGATGTAGACAGTTGATGAAGAAAAACTTGGCTATAAGACTGGAGAGAAACAACGACTTTTCACATGGGGAAGTTCTATGAATCAAGAGGTCTACAGTCTACAGTTAAGTTGATATGGTAAACCAATGTACGTTGCTTCAGTCTACAGTCACTACAGTCTACAGTTACTGTCATCCTTTGTGTCATTTCCAAGTAAGTTGCTTGGTCTCTTGAGTGCTTAGGTTTAATCAAGAGTGTCGAAAGACATGGGTTTTCAGATCAAAAAGGTCGCCCATTTTGTCGCCAGGTCGACCAGACGAGGTATTGGGTGTCGCCTGACTAGGTCGAAACGCACGCGCACGGACGTGGAGACGCTTTTGAGGCCCCCTTTGGTTCGGGTCCGGAACCCCTACATTTCGATCGGTCGACTGACTGGGAGCGATTGAAGAACTAGGTGGTGGGGCTCGTTTGTTAAAAAATAACTTTACTCCCACTGAGGGATATGTTTTAAGCGAGTTGAAACCATCAACCAAGCAGCGATTTTGCTTGACGATCTTTGAGACGATCTTGTCGATCGGATGTTGGGTCGGATCTCACATCTGCTGGGTCGCTGATCTTCGTCCCTGAAAGAACCCTGGGGCTCCAGTCGTACCTTCTAAGAAGGTGGGACTGGGGCGCTTAGACTGTTACAGGTAATGGGAAACACCCAATCTCTTAAAGAGAGAGAGAGAGAGAGATTGATGAATCTTTGGTTCGAATTTACCCTGATCCTTGCAAACTCAGCCGAGTTTCTTCGATATGATCCACCACATAGTAGCAGGTGTGCCTGCAGCGAAGGGTGGAGGTGGTGGAAAAGGTGGAGGACACGAGGGCGGACGTGTCAAATGGATGTGGGATGTTGTGGCTGGTCCAAACACGAGCAAGTCAAGAGGCTGGCAGTGCTATTGACTGCAAAGGTATATGAACTCCAGCTACGAATGGTTTATACTATAGTCAGTGGATGGTTTATTATACCTATACATTAAAGGATGGTTTATACCTAGTCAAGTCAGTGGATCACCTGCGCTTTCCCCACGAAACCAAGAACATGTGACAGTGACCCTTCGGCTTTCGCCGAACGCTTCGATTCTCGGGATTTGCGGAGTCAGTCGATGCTCGGGATGCTTCGGTTGAAGCGCCCTCCCTTTTGCCCCCTCTGTGGATTGATGTACACGGTTGTTTGTGACGAATTCGCAGGTTTGGAACGGATCAGTCCTGATCAGTCCAGCCGGATGGCACAAGAGAGGAAGTAAGAAGATGGTCAGATGGCCCCATGGCGCCTGAAAACAGGGCGGAGCAGTTGTTTCTTTTGGGGTGAGTGTATATGTCTCAGAATATAGCATGTTCATGCGTGTTCCATGTTCCACATGGCCGCATGTTATTTGCATGCGAATCTCCTGCAGATATGTATGACCCGTATGTTGTTCAGTTGTCGCCTCAACTCCAGTTTCTTGTATCCTGAGACCTTTTTAGGAGGATTTGGGAAGGGCTACGGCGGCTACGGTGGAGGATATGGTTTGACACTCAGCTGGCTGGCGGAGAGAACATATTTGAGGATGATATTTCGGTACACGATGATGATGAACTTTAAGGCCTTGCCCATTTGATTGGTAAAGTAGTTGAACCTTATTGGAGTTGAATGCTTGGAAAACCTGACATGAACACCTTTAGCAGTTGTAGCAAGTCATCCATGGCGACCCAAGACATTCTCCATGTCCTTGTCCAACGTCGTCAGGTGGCGGCTGTGGCAAGGGCTCCTATGGTGCTCTGGCTTGCAGGACTTCGACGGAGTTCGTTTTAGAAGACTCAGACGGACGCACCGTTCGACTTAGACTAGACACTCCCATGACACCAGGGAAGTGCCCCCACATGGCTGTGAGTCAAAGCCTAAAGCCCCAGGGTTTTCACGCTGGTAGGTTTCAACCAGCTTTGACCAGGTCGGTCTCCTGCCATGACGAAACCCACATCAAACCGGGTCGTACCCGTTCGGACGGCGCCGTTGAAGAAGAGGTGCCAAGCAAGAGAGGTTGGACCGGATTGTATGGTTAAGTGACCTTATAGGATCCTACTGGGGTATATGATCTAATTATGGGATAGTGACCGTATGGTCAAGTATTGTATGGTTAAGTGACCGTTCACATGGGATCCTACTGGGGTATATATCGGATAGTCTATATATAGGGTCCTTCAACCTTTGTTGGAGGTCGACTGGAGGGTCCCTCAAATTCACGCGGAACGCAACATCTTCTGGGGTGGAGAAAAACGAGAAAAAGCAACTGTGGATCAGAAGCGAATTGAGAGGACTCACACGGATGCGATTCACTTGCTGTGTCGTCGTGGATTACCAAACCATGCGAGTCATGATCCTAACTATCCATAGGGCTCCAAGTACCTTCTCAGAAGGTGTTTGGGGTGGGTTCAGAGGGTCCAGATACCTTCTGAGGAGGTACGACTGGAGCCCTAGGGTATATTTGAACACCCCCAACTTGGAGAGCCACCGAGAGATGCCCCAACCAATTGGAGATGCTGGGGTCATTCCACGACGCAATGATGCAGGGTTGATATGGCAAGCAGATGGGACACGGACACACTTAGATGGTTGCTCGCAAGAGCTAGGATCAGTATGAAGTCCCACTTTAGACGATTACATTACCAGCTGCATTGTAGACCTTGACTTGCAAACGGAATGGTGAAAGAGTCGGCTTTACTTGAAATGTTTAACATTTGGTGAAACGAGAAGGAGCCTAGAGTTAAAAATTGTGGCAGGTACATCACGGTGATCAGCCGATCCGCATGTACTGTGGCCGCTTCGTTGGACCATCGCTCACAGCACATGGATGGTCCCCCTGCCTCTTTTTCCGCGCTGTTTTTTGATTTGGAAAAACTGCGCGCTAATAGCGATACCAGGAGCCCTTAGTAGCGAAACCAGGGGCCCCTAGTAGCGTTCTCTGTGACTCAAAACCTTAGGCACAGGTGTGGACACACACACACACACACGAAGCCGTACTCGGCGCGCTCTCCCCTGGCTGGAAACTAGTAGCGAGGCCAGGAGCCCCGAGTAGCGTCCTTACTCCCCGTAGAACGGCCAGAGAACGGCCAGAGGCCCCTGGTAGCGTCCTGGCTCCTAGTAGCGAGACCAGAAGCCCCTAGTAGAGTCGTTTGTGACGCAGAGCCTTAAGCACATGTATGGGAACATACACAACCGTAGTCGGTGCGCTCTTTGCACACATAGCGCCAATATTGGCGCTGCGGACAATTACTAGCCACCTAAAAAGCCTTAGAAAGACAGACAAAGCAAACAAAACAAAAGCAGACTAAGAGGGCAATGAAAGAAAGATAGGTGTAGTTACGAGGCCCACTTAGTTGAACGAAAGTAGTTAGCGAGCGGGACTTTGGTCTTATACCACCCGGGTAGCTAGAGGTAGGACAGGAGAAATAGAAGGAAAGGCACCAACACACAAGTGTGTTGAGTGCGACTTCCTTCTATAACCCTAGGTAGCGGGTGGGATAGCAACGGAGGCCTGGGGCAGGGAGGGGTGGCCCAAGGGCTGTCATCATTGACATGGACGGCGGACCCATTTCTGACAAGCATCTGAAACCTCAAGAAACCTAAAGAAAGGCCTCCAGAAAAAGAAAAGCAACAGGAAGAAAGAAAAACCCAAACGGAGCAAGAAAACCCACTCTCGTTTCGCGCTCTCGTCCGGCCTGTGAATACTTAGCAGCGTGACATGGACATGTGGATACTTAGCCGTATGCAAGAAGTTGATCTCAGTGAGCCCTGCGGCCTAGTATCAGTGGTATCATGCAGCACCGCAGATCAAGGGGAATCAAGAGAAGTCCAGGAGTGCAGACGGAGCATTCAGGGTGGGTCCCCCAGGATCTGGGTCTGTGCACATGCAGCGCCCCCTCAACGGGGATCACACCACACCCCTCAGTGGGACTCTGTGGCGATACAGACTTAGATGGTTGCTCGCAAGAGCTAGGATCAGTATGAAGTCCCACTTTAGACGATTACATTACCAGCTGCATTGTAGACCTTGACTTGCAAACGGAATGGTGAAAGAGTCGGCTTTACTCGAAATGTTTAACATTTGGTGAAACGAGAAGGAGCCTAGAGTTAAAAATTGTGGCAGATACGTCACGGTGATCAGCCGATCCGCATGTACTGTGGCCGCTTCGTTGGACCATCGCTCACAGCACATGGATGGTCCCCCTGCCTCTTTTTCGCGCTGTTTTTTGATTTGGAAAAACTGCGCGCTAATAGCGATACCAGGAGCCCTTAGTAGCGAAACCAGGGCCTGGTAGCGTTCTGTGTGACTCAAAACCTTAGGCACAGGTGTGGACACACACAAATACCGTGAGCACATCAGACAGCGATCGTAGGCAAGGCTTATTTGTCTCAATCAAAGACAAAGGTGATCTATAGTGGATTGAGAGTAGATGCCACAGACCCCAAGAGGTGGTTTATATGGAACTTTATCTAGAGGACATCTTGGGGTTTGTGCCATCTACTATGAAACCACTGTAAGCATCCGGACCTGAACCAGTTGGGGATTGGGGTTGGCTTCTGGAGTCCCGAGTCGTGCTCCATCGCCTTCACCATCGGTTTTGTTGAAGGTCCGGATCCACGTCACCACGTCGGTAGAAATGGGCCGAAGCTCGGGCCGAAGCTCGGGGGGGCCGTCTTGGGCCGAAGCATACTTCCGGTGGTCCATCGTTGCATCGCTTGACACGTTTTGGATTAACGGGCAAGACAGGCAGCTTCGGCTTCCAAGTGCGTGCTACCGAGGCCCTCCGCCATATACCGCTTACGGCGGTTACGGAGGTTATGGAGGCGCAGTCTGTTTCACGCGGTCACCGGTCACGAAACGGTGCCATCGGCGCTAAATCATGCGGAGAGCAGGAAGATGGACGAAAATAAATGAACTGGTCAAGGACTGCTGTGAATACAGCTGAACTTGAAAACTGAACTATTTGATAGTTCAAGCCCTCATTTCAGCTGAAATTTGATACAGCTGAACTCTTCAAAGCCTCCGGGTTCTACTTCTGCCACTTGGAGAAGTCTCCATTGAAACCCCCGCCATCCATTTTTTTGGGGAAAACATATTGGGAGACCGTTGGTATCAGCGACTGTTACGGTCTCAGCGGAAAGCGGCAGGGGCTCTCAGTACTTCGATCCTTACGGATGACCCGACCGGGGAAAGGAAGTAAGTATCCTTAGGGCTCCAACCATATCCTCAGAAGATGGTTAGACCCCCCTGGCACCCACCCCAACCACCGAACCTCAGGAGGTGGGCCAGGAGCCCTAGGGTATAGACAGGGCTGTTTGACCATTTGGTCCGGTCATACCAAAACAGTACTCAATGAGGTCGGCTGGATGTCCGGTTTCACTTGGTCCAACTGACCTGCGGTTTGGAGTGGCGCGGCGCACGTCTCCCACGCGAGAGTGCTGAAGAGGTGGTGCCAGGAGAGACTTTCATGTGAGACTTTCAGATTACTGTACTTGTTCCCAGACACTCCATGGAGTGTTTAGGTTTGTTGCCTTCGCGGCGGCATGTTCGGATCAGTCATGGACATCAACCTTCTATACTTCCACGCTTCACTTCACTAGTAGAAACGTTGAGAAGCAGGCAGCTGTCCTGGGGTCAAGCTGGATGGTTTTCGTGCCAATCACAATGACTCGCGCTTCCTCACAGTTTGGAGGACCTCACGAGGTGTCCACCATTTCCAAGTAGCAAAAACAACGGCTCCAACGGTTCCAAGCCCCTTCGCTATCAGCTGCAACTGAAGGCAAACTCAACGAATCCGGGCCCTCTAGTCTAGGCCCGACCTCCGCCGAGAGCTCGACCTCGCAGTCTTAGGATCACATGAAACTCACATGGAGTTGCTTCAAACAACGGTGAAACTTTGGAAGACAGAGTCTACAAAGAATCCAGTGAGTTACGGATCACATGTGAAAAAAGGGCCCGCTCTTCCAGAGCGGCCCGCTGATCTTCGGGCACGATCGATTCCATCATCACTCCGAGCTTTTTAGGGTCACCTGGGTCGACTGTTTCACCCGATAGCTCCACATTCTCATAGCGCTCATAGGCTAGACTCAGACCTTCCAAGCTTTCCCAAACCCTCCCTCACCACCTTATGAGGTAGTTTAGCCCTTGGGTCTGGGTGTGTATTGAAACAGGCAGACCTGTTCTGGAAGGTTCGGAAAATAGACCAGTCATGAGCAGTCTACCAGGGGATGGCCCATCCAAAACCTAGGTTTCCCGGAGCAACAAAAACATGGGTTTTTGTATGTGAAAGCCTTTGTTTTGCATGGGAAATTGGTGACCGGGCCCCTGCTACACATTGGTTGAGAGGGGTCCCCCCCTGTTCAACATACCAACCAAGTCTCACGGCGCCGGGCGTTGGAAGAAGGCGGCGCCGCCTATGGTGGTGGCTACGGTGGATATGGAGCAGCCGCACGGCGGAAACGAAGACCCAACGCAAAGACGGGCCGCCGGTTCTTTTCGAGGAACCATATTTGAGGGGATCCAGTTACCACGATGTCGCTGGTAACCACTGGTTCCAGTTCGACTAAAACCATAGACTGAACGAATCCCTGCTTCCTACTACTAGTGGTTTGCCTGGGATCCACTGGGTATCATATATTGAGATGAACCACATCGAGGGGATTGAAGGGGTGTGGACTTCTAAGTCCCCATACATAAATCCCCCAAGGATGGTGGATGAGACGCATAATCCCAAGAGAGAAGGTACCTTGCCCAGACATGCACATAGGGTGGTCAAAACCGGGTGACCCTGGTAGATCACCGACAATGCATAGATGACCAGGTCAATCTACCAGGCAACTCCGGGTTTTGACCCACTGCCACATACCAGGGGGTGGTGGTGTGTGTAGGCGTCCGTGTAGGCAATTCCAGTCTTCCGGGTCTGCCGAGTCCAGGGTCACGATGACCCTGCGGACCATCCATGCATGGAATATACATACCAATGAACTCCCCAAACCGAGTTATAGTCTTGGCATGTCTTGGCCGTCCCCTCATCCCATTTTTTCTTTTTTGGGGTTTCCCATGGCCCCCACAAGGTAACTGTTCCGGACATGGAAGGTTTGGGTCAGGTACCAGACCCCATCCCAAACACTCCATGGGACTGGAAGTATATACAGTGTGTATATATATATAACAATAGTAATAGTCTAAATAAATTTGTTTTTGATTGTTTTTTTTGTTGTATTTTTGTCTGTGCTTGTATTGCTTCTCACTGCTTCCTGCTTCTATTGCTTTTCCTTCTTTTCTGTGCTTGTGTTGTTTTTCCTTGCTTCTCACTGCGTTTGTGCTTTTCCTGCTTTTCTGTGCTTGGTTTACTGTTCCTTGCTCTTCATTGCTTCTGTGTGAATCCTCTTTCTGTCCTTGCTTTTGCTGCTTTTTGCGCCTTCTTTCTTGCTTGGTTTGTCTTTCCTGCTGTTTGTCCTGGTTGGCATTATGTTGTTCCTTCTTCTCGTTTTTTTGTAGTGTAGTGAGTCTCTTTGATCTTTGATTAGTTGATGCTGCCGCTTTTGAGGGGTAGGTATCAAGAAAAGGTAATAAGCATCAAGAAAAATGATACATGATACGCATCAAAGAAGCAACAATACAAATACGCATCAATTAAATTCAGGCGGTTGCTTTTAGTGCCGGGTTGCTGACTATATTTTGATTTCATTGCAACTTCACCCAGCTTTCAACATAGCTTCTTCTATCCATTTGTCTACATATCTGTCTACCTATCTGTCTATCTATCTATCTATCTATCTATCTATCTATTTATCTGTCTATCTATCTATCTTTCTTTCTTATTTTATCTTATCATATCTTATATTTTCTAATCTTATATATCTAATCTTAATCTAATCTAATCTAATCTATCTATCATTCTATTCTATTCTATCCTATCCTATCCTATCCTATCCTATCCTATCTATCCTATCTATCCGGGATCCGTTCCGTCGACATGCTAAGACGACCGTCGACGTGCCAAGGGTTGTGTCCGCCGACATGCCAAAACCGGCCCTTCGAAATGCCAAAACCCAAAACAGGTCCGTGGACATGCGACAAGGGGTCCTTCGACATAGCAAAGCATGATTTGTCCGTCGAAATGCCAAAACAGGTGCGTCGATGTACGAAATCAGACCTTGGCTATGTTAAACAAAGACTTCCGCCGCCGCGTTGTCGACGGTCTTTCCGGCGTGTCGATAGGTACTACTGGTATGACATTCCACAGTGCTGCTTTTTTGTTGCCCGTACTTCAGCTCCAGCACGAGAAGAGAGCATGGCGTAAGACGAGGAAGTGCTTGCTCAGTTTTAAGAGTGCTGAGTGAACACCCAATTTGAAACCAATCAAGAATGCTGTGTAAGAGGGCATTGGAAATCACATATTGGCGTATTGTATCACAAAGTTGTAGTGAAGCAAGCGCAATATGTCAAGAAACCATTCAGGATTCCAGACGCAGGCTTTACCACAGACTTCTCTCAGCGTATGTCGCCGACATGCGAGCTTGGAAGCCTGCCCTGTTGCTGCTGCCAGTGGGGTCCTCGCTGCCCTGTGCCGAGAGTATCCTTTGCACAGCACAGGCGTGAAGTTTGTGGGAGCTTGCAAGCCCAGTTTTCCTTAAGTGTTTTCTCAAGCGCTTCCAATGGTTTGAGCTTCGACAGTGTATGTGCAAGTGTGGCTGCAGCACTGCAAGGGACCATGCTGTAAGCAAGAGTGTTAGGGAAATAGCAACATGTTCAATCGAAATGCCAGAGAGTGCGCTTCCAATGGTTTGAGCTTCGACAATGCACGTGCAAGTGTGGCTCCAGCACTTCAAGGGACCATGCTGTAAGCAAGAGGGGAAACAGCAACATGTTCAATCGAAGTGACAGAGAGTGCTGGAAATCCCACACTGTATCAAAATGTTGTGGTCAAGCAACGGAACATGTCCAGAAGCCACAGAAGACAAAGGCTGTGCCCCAGACTGCTTTCGTGTTAAGTTGCGGACATGAGCACTGTGTGCGTTCACTGCGCAACCGTGAACGCTACTCCTGCCCGCTTCTGTGCAGAATGCGGTTCTATATAGAGGGCTCCGACCAACGGACCTCAGGCAGACTCCGAATCGGAAATGTCGTCAACGACTGAATCTGGAGGAGCTCAGATTTTCTGGAGGAACAGGAACTTTTAGAGAAAATGGCAGAAGGAGATATCGTGTCGCTGGCGACGGATGGTACATTTCGACTAGACTTTGGGAACTACGTTGTCCAAATTGTGGGGTTGCTGCACCCCACCTGTAGTCTTGGCAAGGTGAGATCAGGGAAGGGTGGCAAGGGTGAGGTGGAATTGCCGCGCACTAGCTTCGCTCCTTTGGCCTTTGCTCTCCTGGAGTCCGAGAAGACGGACAGTTGCGTGGAGTTCACAAGGTGGTACGAGCAATGGCTTCGCGTCTATTCTCCAAAGGCGCATGCGAAACTCATGCAGTGCAGCGTCACCATCAATGATTTCAAGGAATCTGGAGAGCGAGCCTTGCGCGTCTTGTGCGCAAGTCCACCGGTGCATCGCCATTGTGCTGTGCACATGATCCGTAACTGTACTCAAGCTGGGTACACTGGATGGAAGAAGTTACGCTCGCACAAAGCGGCCTCCACCTTGAGGCAATACCTTTTGCATTTGCAACACGCTTCCAGCTTGGTGGTTTTTGACATGTTGTCGCGCCATTTGCTACTGCTGGTGCGGCATGAGCTTGAAGAAGCAGCCTCTCATCACTTTGGGGGAGAGGGAAGGGTGCGATGGCTGTATGGTTGTTCAGTTGTTCTTATTGGTTTTGCTTCTCGCCCGAACGGACGGCAGTCCAGAATGCGGCGGCAAAGTAGTAGTCTATCTCAAGCGTTTTTCCCGCAATGATAATGTTGACTGTCCTGGGGCCTCATTGATTGTATCTTTGTTCCATTGGATCTATCTTAGGTGCTTTCGGAGAAATTCTCAGAGAAAAGCATTCCACATGGGAGATTGCTGGGCCGTGATTTCAAAGAACAACAGAAAGGCTTTGAAGCGAAGGTAGGATCGCTCGTGACGTCAAGCGACTCAATCTACAAAAGTGCAGAACAGTTCGATCTCTTGCTTTTGGACGAAGCTGCAAAGCAAGTGATGGGCCAAGTTTTGGTAGCGATGCTGTTCCAAAAGAGAGTACGCAAAATAGTACTGGTGGGTGATGGCCACCAACTGGAGCCCTTTGTCCATTCATGTCGTCCTCTGCCGACATATTTTTTAAAGTCTGCTATTGTGAACGCCGGAGCTCCAACTATAGCCTTGGATTTGAACTATAGAGTTCCTGCGGAGAGAGCTTCAGCTTTTCAATGAGGGAATATGGAATGCTCTTCACGAGTTCGTACAAAGTTGCAAATGGAGATAGAGTCAAATGGATTGAATACATGAAAAGGATCTTTGAAGAACGAAAAGGAGGCTTCCGTTGCTGTTGGATGCTACTCTGACATTGTTACCAGAACAGGAAAGAGGCCATTGATCATCAGTCTTTATGCAGCACAAGCATCCTGTTTCCATGAACTTTTGTCCACGCGGGGCTTTGACCCTCAGGACAATGTGACAGTAGATGCATGCCAGGGGCTGACCAATTCCATATGTTCATTTCATTTGTATCCCTCTATAGTTCGGGCAGAGCGGTTTCCGCAGTCTTTTTCCCCAGCCGGGGAAGGATTGGGAAGGGATCGAAAAGGGAAGGATTTAAACCGTTGTTGCCACATCACCTCTCACCTGACCACATCTAGATAATGACAAGGCTATACAAGGACCATGACCAGTAGACACCGATATAAGGACTGCAAATTATATAACAATACTAGTATGGTGGCATTTGGTGATCTACCTAGCGTTCTACCTGGGGTTTCAACTGCCTAGGTTTTGAGGGGCTAAGGGGTGTTTGGAGCGTTTGGGCACGGCTGTTTTTTCTGACATGATGTTCTGAAGCCGAGGCATATGGTGGCAAAGGCATGGGCAAGGCGAGGGGTTTGCAGTGAGAACGGACTGGGGCGAAACACATGTTTTGAGTTTTCCCGCATTGTATATAGAGGTAGTGTGAAAGGCTACCATTTCAGTAGGTTTCACAATGCAAAATTTCCACGAAAAAAGGGGTGAATATATTTGTGTTTCTACTGAATCCCTTAATGTCATTAGTAGCTGTTCATTTGGTCCATTTCTTTCGAGGCACAGAAAAACTGGTTGGGGTGAAGAATGGTGAAAAACATCAAAATGACCCATAGAGAAAACTTGAGAAAACCGTTTTTTGTAGTGATTTGACTGCTTCCTATGGTGCATACATGTTGATAAAAAACAAAAAATATCAAGATAAATTGGATTCAACTGGTTTTTAAATCAATATGGGTTTTTGTGTTTTGAATTTAACAGGGGGTGTTGCTTGGGTGTGTTTTTTTTCCAATGGGTTTTGGGAGGTCCTATTCCATACACACCTACATGTTCCCGTGAACCACATCGCCTGTCAGCACAATGGTGACACGACCTTGCCACAAACGGCAGGACTATGGTGGCTTTGGCAAGGGCTATGCCCCCTACTGATCGCCCAACAAAATTCTTGCATGAGGGTCGTGCACAATTCACGAAACAAGAAGAGGTGGATCCCTCAAGATGGGGAGAGCAACAATTCATGATGTATTTTCAGTGCCAAATTTTCACCGCATGTGCATTTCATGTAGCAATGAGTCCCTTTGCACAAGATTCACACTTGTGGCTGTCAAGGCCCTTGCAGCCTTTGCAGGTGGAGACAAGGATGCCCTTCCATCATTGGTAGGGAAGATTGCTGATTTCCCTCGTGAGGAGTTCAATTCCCAGAGAAAACCATGGGCAGAAACATGCAGAAACCAGGTAACCAAGGAGCCCCACCACCCGCAAAATTTGTTGGTTCTAATTATATAATTCAAATTGTAGTTTAGATGGGGAGTGCTGACTATGCATAGTTTGCTTTGTCCCTTTCTGGATGCCACCCTGTAGCTCGAAAGTGAAGTTTGCTGCTGCGAAGCTGCAGCTGAGGAGTTTTGGTCACAGATCGGATGAACGCTGTGTCAAGCAAGGCACGGAGAGGAGCGTGTGGTATGGAGACTATTGGCGAACAAAGGAGTGGAGCTCGGCGCTCGGCGCTTTCGGCGCTTGGTGTTCGGTGGATGTCTAATTCGCCCAGCTAGGCATCGTTCGCCCAGCTGTGCCCGGTTATGCATAGGAAATGATGGAACCATTTGCAACAAAGGTGCTGAAAGGTCGCCATATTTTGCGCCACAAGACGCGAACTTCAGGTTCAGTCACCATCCAATGATGACTTGATGAAGGCTTCATTGAAGGCTTCCAGATGGATTGGTATCAAAAGCAACAGACATGACTGATTGAATGAAAGGACGGGAAACGACCCGATGTGATGTTCCGGTTCGTCATGTGGTGTTCTGGTGAAAACACTTAGGGGAAGCCTCAAGGACTATGATTATGACAATGTATCACGACATCATGTTGAGGTGAAATTCACCAACAATCATAAGGCAATTATCACAAGTGTGCACTCGTGTGTGCACTCATGCTGATGATTTCTTGGGCTGTTGCGGGCTCAAAGTTCAAGGATGAACAACGCCACAAACAGAGCATTGATACTGATACGAAAAGGGAACAATGCACCAGGTGGTATGTTTACAGCCTTGACTTGGGAATATTTTTCACCCACAGATTCAGATTATGTGTTTCGTTTTGACCAACCGGCAGTCGACTCTCAGAAAGGGTCTTCCTATACACTGCTCGGATCAGGAGTGACAGGATGTGATGCAGGCTCTTCGGCGCAGCTGGCTCCAAGCATTTTTGCAGGATGTTCGACCCCTAAGCACCGAACCTTTAAGGTAGTTGAAAGTGTAAGGCCCTGTAAGGCTGTTAATAACTCAAGGGAACATGCTGAGTGTCTCATTGGTGTTGCGATGATTTCATGAAGGCAACAGGCTGATGCATGCGGCAACGCATGTTTGAAGGGACATATTTGCAAGGGTGTCACATGTTTGAGCAGTTTCAGACAAGACGCTGATGGACCAAAACACAATCACACATAAATATATATATATATACATACAAAAACAACAACATGACATGACATGGCCAGGAACCTGATCATGGCAATGACAAACCTGCACATCGTATGTGTGACGGTGCGTGAGAGCTGACCATGGCCCTTTGCAGCGATGGATGCCAGGACTAAAGGGGTGGGGAAGCGATGGATGCCGTGATGACATGAGTCGATGGCAGAGAGGATGGGCCGATGTGGCTGATGTGGCTTGGGTGTGTTTTGATGTTTTTTCTTTTGATTCAGCTGCTTGACATCCGGGAAAAGCCATGACACCTTTTTACTTGGCGTGGCAGCTTTTTTATTCGCCCTTTTTTTTGCTGCTAAACGGGCCACATCATGAAGAGAAGTGCTTGCTGAATGAAAAGGATTCAGACACTCTGCCTGGTTTTGCTTATGGTGATTCTGTATTTTTACATATCAAACATTGTCATAGAATCGGATACCTGGACCCTCCAAGGGGTGTCCAATGGACTACCCCACACCTATACGCTTCCAGACAGGGCACCCGGTCGTGTCTGTGTTTGATTTCACTAATCCCCGAGGTGATTCCTGGCAATACACTGAGCGGTCGCTGAAGGTGTAGGCCATAAATGGCAATAACGTTATCACCTCTTCCTGCCTGATCGCCACACCTCTGCGCTTTCCTTCAGCAGCCGTACTTCTTGGCCATGCATCGAGCATGGATTTTTGAGTTTCCTGTCCAGGAACCGGGACAAAAAGTAAAACAATGTAAAAAAACATACCAGGACCTCCAAGGCCATCTGAGCAACGTCATAAACCTCTATGAAAGAATTTAGGTAGGACTTAAGATTATGAATCTGTGCGAAAGGAAAACTGCAGTTGGGGAAAGCTTGGCGAAAGGTTTGGAGAAAGGCTCTGATTTTTTTTTTATGAATGGATTTTGTTGCGAAAGGGTTGGCGAAGAGGTTTTCAGTACAAAGCATGTCATCCAAAGATTCCTGATAACCAGGCGAAAGGTTGGCGAAAGGTTCGCGAAGATGTGGCGAAAGCAGTGGTTGCAGATTAGGAATGATTCCCCTTTGCTGATACTTTTCTTAGATGTAAGTAGCAGAAACTCGGCGAAAGGGTTAGCTAAAGAGGTTGTCGGGCGAAGTGGGTCGGCGAAAGCAAAACATGCAGCCGCGAAAGCGTTGCGAAGGGATTGGCGAAAGGTTGTTATATATAATCTTAATAAAAGTTCCGGATGGTTTTTGACACCGCTCATCTGGGACTGGATTATGTTGCATACACGACCGCCGCGGTTGATTTCAGGAGGTCTGTTTGGGGGCGGCAGTCCTATACCAGTCCCATGGATCGTCGTGTCTTTCAATTGTTTGACCGGAGTATATTGGTGACTCATGAAGGGGTCCAAGGCCAAATCTCTGAAATCAACCACCAGGAAGCCATGGACTTCAGCAACATGAAAGGATATAACAACACCGACTCGGCCGACACCCAACTCCATGGACAGTGCATAGAAAAAATGTAAAAACAAGGGGATCTTCCAACTATAGCCGGTCTTCTTTCTCACATTTGCTTAACCTTTATGCATTGATAGCCGGTATCCAGGCCTATCCAGTTCTCGACCTGTCTGACTGTGTGGGTGTTCCACACGACCTGTGCAGCCGGTCGCGTCGCGTCTTCGTGGAGCGAGTGGAGCGACGGAAAGCGCCTCTCCAGGAGCTCTGAGGCCGGTGGAGAGGGTGGAGAGGTCGATGGTGCGTAGCTCGGCTCAGCCTGAAACAAAACCGCCAGGGGTCTACGGCACGAACATCCGTGGAGGAGGTGCTTTTTGTGTGGAGGTGCTTAGCTTCCGGAATTCATCAGGTTAAAAAAAAGGAACTTCGGTGTGCCATGTATCATCCATGTATCATCATGTATCCACCTGAAACTGCAAATGGCTGAATTTTCCTGGTCGTACGGCCGTGGCCGTTATTTTTGGTCATTACGGTTTGCTGTTATTTCCGGATTGTTTTGGTAATTTCCGGGAAAAGCCCAAAATATGTTTTGGGCATTTATTGGGTTATGTTGTTTTTTTTGGGCGTTGTTCGGGTAGTATCCATATTTGGGTCAAATATGCCCAAAACAACCAGCGATTTCAGTCATTTGACTGACATGTTTTCTGGTCATTACGGATAAAGCTGAACTTTGACCATATTCCCTGGTCATTACGGCATATTCGCAAAATGGCTGCAACAAAATCAGGCAAACGCGACTCCAGGCACATATATGCCTTAATTAATGGCCTAATAATCATATCAAATTCATTCAAATTCAATTCATATCAAAGCGCATCCTTCAACCTCATCTTCTTCAGACACCCTTGGCCCGTGGTTTTCTCTCTTTTTACCGAGACGTCTGTGCTTTTTGTGGGAGAAACCTCGAGCAGACTCAGCAGAATTTGTGTGTCGAAAGCAACACATGCAAAACTGCCTCGAGTCGGACGGAACTCTGCGTGTGTTGGATTGTTGAAACCTAGGCTGGGATGGACCTCCGACTCGTACGTCGTCACGTCGTCCATTCACTTTCGATGAGGGAAAACCCAGGCTTCCCCGGTTTTTGTGGGGACCCACAGCCAATTGGGTGGAGTGTGTATGGCGTGTGTATAAGATGGTCGACGCTCACAGCTACAGCTATACCATATATCCCCAATCCTGGGCCCCTGTCACCATCCACAAAGCAGGCTTTTCTTGTACACTAACCCTAGACCTCCAAGTACCTTCGTTTCGAAGGTGGGACTGGGGTGGGTGCGAGGGTCCAGTCATACCTTTGTTTCGGAGGTGCGACTGGAGGTGGGTCAAGTTGGGTTTCTGGAATGGTCCGCCTCGCCACGAAGAGCTCCGACCGACCGACTGGAGTCACGAAGAGCGACCGAACCGATCGACCGGAGGATGCGCAGGACTTCTCCCCGGCGGGGCAGCGCAGCCAGGGTGGACTCGAGAAGTGGAAGCACCTGGGTTTCCCCAGTCCCAACCAGAAAGCAGTTGGATGGAATGAAACCCAGTGCTGGAGCCACTTTTCATGTAAAGGATCTGAATCTCAAGCTGGCGCCATATATTGAGTTCCAACATGTTCCAACCAGAAACAGAGTTTCAAATCCAGTTAGCAGCATTGCCCTAAGAATCCGGGCCGGTTGCACGCATTGCGAGACGGTTGCGAGGCGGCAATGCACTCCACCCAAAGGCTCAGAAAGGATCCAACCCGTTCGCTACGGTTTTTGACCCTCACAACTAGGGTGACATGGACCGAACCAACATGATCCAACATGTAGCAATTGGTTCGGGTCACTGAGCGTCTGGGCACCACCCAAAAGCCTTGTTTTCTGTGGACATCGAAGGATCCTCCACATCAGCTGACTGTGTATTCAAGCGGGGGATCGTCGCTTTTTCGGGTGTGAGAAGGCACTGATTCTGAGTTGAAGCAGGCAGTGAAGCAGGGCAAACTACCAGGAGTCACAAAGGGGTGCCTATTGGAGGTTAGGAGTGCCCATTATCCACTCACTTAGGGACCAAACACCACCCCTTTGTGACCCCTGGTATGGAGGATTGCATTTGGAAGAGCCTGGAGTCTCCTCGTGCCCAATCAATGACATTCCGATGATCGACCTTCAGCGACCTTCGACCATACCTGGGATGATCGGGTCTCCACTGATTAATATGTTCAATCGAGTTGAAACCTTCAACCAGCATTCTTATTTCTGTCATATACCGTAATGATCTGTAATATGTGTCAAATCTAATTGAACTCACGTCATATATTGGGTGTGTATTAAATGACCTCCAGTTCGACCACCTCGAAAAAGGACAACAAACCAGTCTACCCTTTGCGCCAGGGGGTCTCCCGATGAACATACATGCCCAAATGGGTTGACAGTATAACCATATCCCCTGTTGAATCTTTGGGCCAGTGAGAGACCACCTTCGGCTTCTGCAAAATGAACAAATATATGGATTGTTGGGTTGTTGGTGGATGTGAGACTATAAAAATATATGTTTCAGCAGACAACTGTATCCACGTTTGGGTTTTTCCCAACACCTGATCACCACGGAGAACTGTCCACGGCTTCAGCATGGCTTCTACCATCCGCTATAGGATTCCTGGCTACGACCTTCTATCGGACCTTCTCCCTCTTGTCGCAGGGACCCGACACCCGAAGCAAACCGTATGACATTGCAAAAGGGCCCGATTTTGGGGGTTCATGTTTCTTCCTCAAGCGTCTGCACGTAGCACAGACGGGCTGGCTGTGGCTAAATCCTCATCGGAGCCCTCCAGCGATGGTCCATCATCGGCACTGAGTCGCCACGGAACCTGGCGGCCTATGCACGCCTACAGGACAGGTTCCGGTGGGAGTTCTGCGGAGAAGTCTGCGGGTGAAACGGAGGGAGGAAAACGCCTGCGGAAAAAGCACCCATTGGACCTTGCAGAGGTGTCCAAGTCCGATGGAGATCCCTAAGTAGTGCAGGGGCTTCCATTGGTGACTGCTTTGAAGGTGCTGGTTGATGTGATGGAACAATGGAGGTTTATCAAAGTTAAGGCTTTTATACTACAATGGCAGGATGAAGTAGTTAACAAGATTCAATATCTCCGCTTTGCGGGTCGGATTTTAAGTGCAGTCATGTGCAGTGCCTCCTTTATGTCCCCACAGTTCCCGAGGTCGTTTTTGGATCCTCAACGAATGGCCTCCAACAACGAATGGCAGGGCCCCCGGGCCTCTTCTTTCGGGAACTTCGAGACTATGAACAACCACAACCCCCCAAAAAGAGCCCTTGAAATGCATCCTCTTCTTATTCGCCTGTACTGCAGACCGGCATGGAGGTGGAGGTTTGAATTAAGGGATGCTGAGGGTCACTGAGGGTGATTCTTCCTGCAGACATCTTTGAGCCCGCCCACACATCCTGAAGAGGATGGCGTTTTGTCGGAGAGGCCAGGCAATTGGACAGCGTCGTGGGTGGAAGCTTCTGGGGGATGGACCCGGGTTCGCTCGCACCCGGGTCAGCAGGTTTTCCTCGGTCGCTGCACCAGCGGTTTTCACGGTCCATGTGAGTTTGAAGACCGGGTAGTGGTGAGTGATGGATGTTTGAGCTCAACCAGGGAGATGTTGGACCATGTCCTCTGAAGCCACCGTTGGACAGGTGAAGCCACACGGACCACATGAACCTCCCCTTTGAAAATCATTGAGGGTGTCTTTATAACCGGTCATGTAGACCCTTGATGAATCAAACCCCAGAAGCACTGAAGAGGGGCTTAGAATCCATATGTTTGAGGGGGCTTTCTTTGATTCATCAAGGGTCTGCATGCCCTGTTTTGGACCATGCTGCTTGGCAAGAAGCACTTTTGGACTGCCCCTTACACACCTCCTGCTTGCCCCTATATATGAGCTCCTGGCCCATATCCTCAGAAGCTATAGGACAGAACCCTCATCCCACCCCAACCACCGAACCGAAAGCGGAGGGAAACGGCCAGGACGGCGCTGGGCTCCGCATCAATTCCGGTTCAGCGACGGAACCCCGGATTCGAGCTCAAGTTCGGTTTATATATGGTGGAACTGGCCACAATGTACCCCTTCCCAGTCCGATATAGGGAACATTTTAAGATATATTTGGGGCCACTTATTAGGAGTGTTTGGTGCATCGGCGACCAAGAGTCATTCAAACAATTCTGACAAAGAAGAAAACAACCATCACCTTCATGTCGGGGTCACCTGGCTGGTTTCGCCCCTGCACTACCATCCGGGATCGACAAGACACCCCGAAATAAGGTCAACATGTCAGACATGAGTCAAATGACCGTTCCTTTCGGGCTCTTGAAAGGTGGAACCTGTTCGGTGCAAACCCACTGTTCGAGTCAGACAGTGAAGTGATCTCATTTTCTGTTCCAATCTATGCACTTCGTTGTGTCCTGCTTGGTGTGGAGACTTTGCCACGAACCCGTTCACGCGGTTTGCCATTGAACGCCAGGAGCCCGGCATTCAGTGCCACAGCTACACCTTGTAGTAGTGTGCCCTGGGGTGCTACACCCTGCAGCGCCCATGCGACGCCCTGCAGCGCGCTGGGGGATCTAGACGGTCAGCCGCGAATTCCGGGGGAGGCCGATGGTGTTCGTTTTCGTGGGTTTCAACGGGCTGAAGGGCCAACCACCGAGCCGGGAGAAGACGTGGACATGGGTTCACTGCTTTCTCTCCAGTCGACTGCCACTCTGCCACTAAAAGATGGAGGACGGTGAAGCAAAGCTGCAGAGCGACCCCGTCAGCGGGCTGCAGAGCGACCCCGACCGTCAGGTCTTGACGGCCGGCTCCACCGCAATCTTCCTCGCCTGGCTCCCAACCCTACACCTCCAGTCGCACCTCTGAAACGAAGGTATGGCTGGACAAACCCACCAGTCCCAGCTTCGAAACGAAGGTACTTGGAGGTCTAGGGAATCGCACCTGCGGACCCGAACCTTGCCACCGGTTCGCGCGGATCCGAGTTCGTTGAACGGGGTCTGCCGGTCAGTGAGCCAGGCCAAAAGCAACGCCACGGGGTGGGACGGCTGGCCACATTCCATGTTGTTGCGCTGGTGGGTGATCTCAAGTACTACAGTAGTATCTCCAGGCTTGAAGTAATGAACCAAGGCTATAGTATGCTATAGTTCTAACATGTTCTAACATAGAACAGTTCACAGTTTGTGGTCCAATTGATACTGAACTCCTCTCAGTTTCTCAGTGCCTCCACACCCTCCACACCCTCCACCGGTCTGCCTCGTCGATCCTTTGCTGAGGCGCCTCGCAGATCACTCCCTGCCCAGCTCGCCACGCGGGACGCGGACGCGTGCCGCATGTCTTGGACGTCGACGTCGACGTCCGGACCGTGATGGGTGGAGCATGGTGGAAAACCCTTCCAAGGCTTCCAAGCACCGAATCAACTATAAGGATGTTACACAAAAACCAGGTCAGCCTTTTGATGAATGGTGGAACGGAAGTCTAGGGTTAAGAATCCCAAAGAACGCTTTTGAACCTAGTCTAACATGTCTATGTGTTCCTTAGTGCAACAGCTTTGTTTTCTTTGGGTCAAGAACCTTCATATCATTTCATATCCCTTACCCTAAGAATCCGGGCCATATCCAGGCTTTCTCCATTCCGCTGGGGTCGGGCCAAACTTCCACCAAACGATCGAAACGGCCTCCGGGGCGACTTTCGGGGTCCGGGAGCCCCAGGGCCCTGTGAACACAGCCGAACCCAGATTGATGCTTCCTGGACCTTCAAGGGGTGTCCAATGGAGGCCCCTTAGTGGTGGGCTGGGGCTTCCATTGGTGACCCCTTTGAAGGTGCTGGTTACGGACCCCGGCCCATGTTCCCCGGAACCGAGGAGCTTTGACACGGGTCGATTTCGGTCGGTGTGACGACACGGAATGAAGACCGACACAGCTGGCCCTCGGGGTCCCACGGAATATATCATCGAACTGGACTTAGTAGGGTTGAATTCTGAGAGGAGAACTTCCACTGTATAGATGGATATAGATGGTACCTCGCACTGACTGACCTCTCTCTCTCTCTCTTTGTAGATCTCTGTAGTATTCCCACAAGGGCCTCATTGGGTCCTACTGCTGCAGTTTCTCAATCTCCACTGGCCAGTCGCAGTGATTTCACCTGTTGTTTGGCTGACTGGGCGGGAATGGAGTCTTCACTGGACGTGTTCATCACCACAGGAGTGTTTGTCAAGGAACTACCTGCCAAGGAACTACCTGGTGGACTTGGATCGGATCCAGTGATGGGAACTCTTTTTGGATCTTTTTGGTAAATCCACCAACTTCCCCAGTGGTGCCCAAATGAGTTCCCCGGAGATTTGGGTTTCTTTCACCGGGCTACGCAGCTACATCCCCAGTCCTTCCTGAAAAAAGCCGATGTGTTTCCTGGCTTCCTGGACAGCAAAATGCAAAATCATGTTTCCCCCCAAACAGCAGATGTTCGACATGGTTCGACCATACGGGGGCCTCACGGGGGGTGGATGAATCATGATGAATCCACCATCAACATACCCTAGAAGTTCAGGACCTGATCTACTGGAGATGCTCATACGAAACCAATAGTAAAACTTAAGGAGTAAAACAAAAAGGTTTTGGGTCAAACTGGACTTGTAGGGATACGATAAGGCACTATAGGGACAATACAATTATAAGTCTCAACAACTTCTCTAGAAGTCCAGTTCGACCATAGGAACTTCCAGTCGGCTCGGGTCACCTAGCTGACCTAGCTTCGTCAGACCAGATCATTCTGAAGAAAGATTTCCAGGGATTGACCAACCGAAACAAACCTCAACCAAATCTGGAACACGTGGAACATGATCGATTGAAGAGTTTTTCAGGGCATATAGTCACCTGTGGTCCCTCCATAGCAAGGGTCCAACCTTATATAACAAGGGTTTGTACCCTCAGAACCCTTGTTTTTGAGGGTTTGGACCCTTAGGTATTGATATGTTCCTGTCGTATTTGCTGGCCGTAGGCTCCAGTCGTACCTCCCCTTCGCTTCGGTATGACTGGACGCCCAAGCCCCCGTCGTCCGAAACGAGTCCCGGGACCCTCCTGGAGCCCAATCCTGTTTGAGTGTTTCTGGCTGGACGGGACCAACGCCCAACGCCCACTATCCAAGATCACTGACGGAGAGTCCAGAACGGTATCGCTAAACTGGATTTGGCTGATACTTTCCGGATTGACATCTTCCATACATGGAGCGTTTGGGTATGTTTGGGTATTGTGTGTTTTCTTTAATGTTGTTTTTTATTTTAAATGTTTCTTTTAATTATGTTTGCCGCAAACCATTGGAGGCCCTGCCGTTCGATCATTCGACCCTTCTACGAAGCGCCCGTGTTCGCTCGGCCTCAGGGCATCCATTTGGCGCCTTACCACGGGCCAGTCGCTGGGTACGGTTTGGGACGGTTTAGGACGAGAAAAGCGGGGCGGGATCACTGAGCCGTGGGGGCCGGGCTGTTTTAGGCCGGTTCATGGTAGTTGATGTGTCACGCTTCGTTGGCTTTTAGAGGGGCAGGTTTTTCTGTGTCTCCAAGTTGATGGCTTCCATCTTCAGAGCTTCATTGCTTTCAGTTGACGTTGACGTTACGTTTCAACCATGAAATTCGTGGCCTCGAAGTCGGTTTCATTCCCAAACAATCCATCAGACCGGAATGTTTAGAGAGCGGGTGTGTATCTGGGAGAGTATCGGGGAGATCCATTGGTCCATGTGGAGGGTAGGATACTGGAGTGTCCCCCAGCTCTGGATGAACGCGGTGTCCACCTCTGCCCAGTGGATATCCCAGGTAGGTCTAGATTCAGGAGCCTCCACCTCGAATCAGCTCGTATTACGAGGCGATGGACATAGACACCTCGATCTGAATGGTCGGGGTAGATAAGTTGAGTCCAAGGATTCTTACCTGGACCTTCTTTCGGGGTGTCCTGTCTGGAGGCCCCTTAGTGGTGGGCTGGGGCGAAATTAGCCAGGTGACCCCGACATGAAGGTGCTGGTAGGTCAATCTCCTGGCATAGGGTAGTCCAGGACCATCCGGGTGTCCTGGGTGTCCTGGGTAGTCCAGCCACACCCAGGTGGTCAGATGATCCTGGTAGGTTTGTCTAGATATGATGAGTCGCGGGGCACTTGAAGTTGTGTGAACTTTCTGAACTAGATAGACTTGACCCTGGGTGGGTGTTGAAAAGCCTCACATGTACTTTCTACTGGATGACAGCAGCATATAACACATCGGTTTAGGATGCTTTGGAGCGCGCACGCGCATGTAGGAATCCTGGTTTTGATGTTCCCTATGGACCAATCCCCTTCTGGCGTTCATTGGAAAGTCATTCGTCCCGGTTCGACAGCAACTCCAACCGAATTCGGTGATCACATCCGACCCATCAAACCCCATCAACCTTGTCATGCCCACGTTCCACGCACTGCACGCCGGGAAAAACCGCCGGTCACGGTCGGTGGCGCCAGCGCCGAGGCCAGTGTCGAGGTGCCGGCGGCTGGGAGCTCAAGGATGGAACTCTATGGCATTCGTTGCTCGCACCGTACCGGGACCGGTTCAGTACGACTGGACCCGACGTGACTTGGCACCGGCACATAACGCAAATAACCGTGTTTGTGCTCACCGTACCTGAGAAGCCTAGCACAAGTGATCTGGAGGGTCTATGAGTAGATGACAAAGAGGTACCGAGACCTTTGAAGCTGGTGTTTTTGGTTGTTATGCCACGTACCATGTACCTATACGTCGGTTGACCGGGCTTCCGGTTCGTGACCGACCCTGCGACCTCGTCCGAGGCGCATTCCGTGGTGAAGGAGGCGGGCGGCATTCCGTTGTCGTGGTTTCCACCACGAGTCGTGATCTGCAGACCCTATAGACATCCTGAACCAATTCTCAAGATAGGTCTGGATTGAAAATCCATCATGAAGGATCATCCCAAAGACCATTCTCAGAATAGTCTTGCATTAGATGCTATTTTTCCCCAAACAGTGTGGACACACTAGGGGTTTCTTACGGTAGGTGAAAAGGAGCTGATGCTTAGATCGCTGAAGCGCGCGGGCGTGCGCGGCTAATTCGATGCTATTTACAGTATACATTCATGCCTCTCGACATCGTCAATGTGCATTTCGACTGCGCAGGCTCCGTTGTGGTGCCGTGTGCATTTTGGTACATGGTGTCACTTTTCGTGACAGGTGCAAGGGATCGGAGCTGTTTTACTTCGAAATGCAGTCTTCGTTGGCGCAGCACTTTGGACATGGTGGTGATCGTCGAAGAGCGCAGATTTCGTCACAGGTGCAGGAATCGTGACTTTTGAACATGTGGCTCGTTTGCAGATGTTGTGGCAGGCACAGCACTTTGTGAACCTCGAAGTGCAGATTTCGTGGCAGGCAGCACTTTGTGAACCTGGAAGTGCAGATTTCGTGGCAGGCACAGCACTTTGTGAACCTGGAAGTGCATGGTTCGGGAAGACCTGGACCACCCCGACTGGGCGGACCCTCTAGTCGTGACCATTGAGGACGGAGGGACTGGACAACCAGGAACCCTGCCGGGCAAAAGTGGTACCACAGGCGGACCGGGCTCGCCACCAGAAAGACCTTTGAAACCTACACCTGAGAGCACTGGCAGCTGGGAGACGGTGGATGAGGGGAAGATCCCAGCTGACTCCGTCGCTGATAGTACTGGACCCTTGCGGGTGATTGCTACTACACTTCGGAAGAAGGGCACCCATCTCTTCAAGGTGCACCTCCTGGACAACCAAGGCAAGACCATTGGGTGCGGTTGGTCCCCCAACCTGGCCCGGGTGAATGAGCTCACATTGGACGAATATATTGCAAACATCGATTCACATGTATGCTGTGAACGCTGCTTCAAGAACCACACCTTTCCTACGGATTGGCAGACCCCCGCCCTGGCAGGGGGCCCCAGCTTGAGTGTTGGACCCTGGGCTGCCAACAATGCAATTCATAATGACAAGTCTTGCATTAGCAAGTGTTTTTGAGATTTGGCTAATCAGGAACCAATGGTGGTAGGAAAGGTTCAAACAGTTCACAACATTTGTTACTTAGGAACCGCGGCTGGAAGGATCGCAGGGAACGCTTTGAGAGAGAGATACTAAAAAAACATGGAGTGAGCTTGTGTGAAATTCACAGTGCCCTTTTGCTTAAACAGAATGATTTAAAGTTGAGGAAAATGAGCAGGAGAAGCAGCCTCTTGGCTCCAATGCATGTTGAAAGTGCATCATGCTTGCTTATACAAGCTGCTCCAAACAGTCTTTGTGAACCTCGAAGTGCAGACTTCATGGCAGGCACAGCACTTTGTGAACCTCGACGTGCAGATTTCGTGGCAGGCACAGCACTCGAAGTGCAGATTTCATGGCAGTCACAGCACTTTGAACCTCGAAGTGGAGATTTCATGGCAGGCGCAGCACTTTGTGCTCTCAGATGCTCACTCTCTCATTCACTCCCTCACTGTCACTCTCACTCAGATGGCAGGACAGCAGCGGATGGCAGGACAGCAGTGGATGGCAGCAGGGAGCCGCACCAGTCAGATGGATGGCGAAGTCGAAATCACACAGTTCACTGGATTTTTGGGGTTTCACTTTTAACGTTTCACGGAGCGGCGCTCATTCACTCTCACTCTCGCTCTCACTCTCACTCTCTCACTCTCACACTCACTCACCCACCTTCACTCTCACTCACACTCTCACTCACACTCTCACTCACACTCACTCACCCACCTTCACTCTCACTCACTCTCACTCTCACACTCACCCACACTCGTTCTCACTCACACTCACTCTCACCCACACTCACTCTCACTCACACTCACTCTCCCAACTCGCACTCACTCACACTCACTCACTCTCCCAACTCCCTCGCACTCTCACTCTCTCACTCACTCACACTCACACTCCCTCACACTCTCACTCCCCGTCACACTCACTTTCATATACACTCACTCACTCACTCTCACTCTCACTCTCACTCTCACTCTCACTCTCACTCTCAC